CATATCGTTACGAAGAAATGGGGAAAGGCGATTTTGATCAGTTTGGGCCATTTAAACGTGTTTATCTCCCTTAAATATTGAGACAATGCCCTGATCTACCGTCACGCGCTTTATTAGACGTAAACGAAGCGTGTTTGCAGCGTGTTTGCAGGTTCAACGCCGCTGAACGAACTGATAGTGAAGGAAGACGTATTGCATTTTTATGACGTTCGTCCTGACTGTTACGTAAACAAAATTGGACGGAGTCCTTTGTCCAGTTTAATAACAGCTACAACACGGGGCTCTGGCTACAGAGCAATAAAGATTAAAGGGATAACAACTGTTCATTTTGGCCAAAATGGATTCTCCTGGGGTTAACGACAAATTCCCCATACTTGCCATGTATAATGAATTTGTTCCGACATTCAAAGTTAATCCCTGTTTTTTTCTAAAAAAAAGTTTGTTTTTGTAATAATTTCTTAAGAGATTATTACGGATGATAGTCATCTATGGAGGTCACGTGGTCCGATGGCAAGCACAGATTCCAGATTGCTATAACCGCCGTTTTGGGGTAAAATAGGAATGATTATACTTAATGAATTATTTATAATGTTGTTATTATGAAATATGGATCTCATACGAAGAGTTGTTATCCCTTTAACCTATGAGCAGGGCTATCTACAGATACTTGTGCGTTATCCATGAATTGCGTCGTATTATCTGAAGTGTCACCTTATTTGTTGATCGAGCACAACATTCAGTATTAGTATTATCCCAAATATCGTGTTATCGCAACTGTGATAACGGCCTATGATATAGACACGATTTTATTTTGAAGGAACCTTGAATAAGTCTCAGTTGGAAATTTTATTTTTGTGTGAGTGCGCAAAGATATTGACAGAGCATTTCACGTTTGCAACGTGGAAATGAGAAACAAATACACCTGCCAGTTTCAACACGGTCGAGATTCCGGGTATAAATTGGACTAGTTAATCATCCGCTTCAGGGAAATTATTGTTTGCAATCATATTAGAAGCAAAGTGACCATCGTACTGACAAATGATTTACTCTTTTGTACATGTTACACAGCCACGGCCTCTCCCCCGCCCACCCTCTCCAAAGTCAAGACGTCAGTTTTAAAGCCATGCAACAGTTATGTTACCTTTTTTCTACGGAGTGCAATAGAAATATTCCGTAGCAGGCATTTTGGCTCTTTTCCTCTTTTTTCCCGCGAAACAATGTTAGTTTAGCTTTAACGTTACTACTTAATGCAAAGAGCGGGCCATATGATATCGATGAAGGAAAACAAAAATATTTCACAAACCTTATCTATCTTATTAAACGATTTACTCTCTAACCCACTTATCATTTGGGAAGTAGTGACCAATTAATAAAATGGAGTCATATGACATATGAATAATAGGCCAACATATCAAAGAGTGCGTTATTTCTGTGCTTCGTGTGCAGACTTTTCTAATACCCGTCATTAGAACGATCGTGCAGAAACATCAACCATGTAATCAGCGATGGAACCAGTAGATATATAGGAGTAAATTTGAAAATAAAAGATTATTGCAAGGGACGGAATACGTGTGGAAATATTTAACAAGATGATTGACGAGAGTGAGTAGGAATATAACTGCCAGTAATGTATACATACCTTTCACTGGGTGATTAAGTATTGTCTTTTTTATTGATTCATGTTAGTGAAGCTATGTTTATCCTTCCATAATAATGATAATAAGCATTAGCACAACAGCACGTATTGGAAGAAAATGAAGTCGGCATGCCAAGAGATAAACCGAATTAATCATTCGTTCAGCCATGGAAAAGGTTTTAGCTGCACCTTCATCAAAATTTTGGTCGTAACTTTGACCTACTTATCTGCCCTACTTAGGCCTACATGTATCTGCCCAGTTTATAAACATCACAGCAAACAAGCAGAAAAAAATTCGCTTAAATATCAATTTTTGGGTAAATTGAAACGATGTCTGTTGGTATATCTCAAAGTTATACTACCGGTATTTGAAATTATGTGGTGGTTAATGGTCGGCTTTCGTGGTAAAAATTTGACTTAAAACGTATCTTTAAGAAAGTGAAAAAATATCATCTATAAAATCAGACATCAAAAAGTATAATAGCTATGAAATATTCTACAGATATAACTTTAAAACCTATAACATTATTTTAAATAAACCCCAAATTTTAGAGAATGGGGGAACCATTTTGAGCAACAGTGCACTTTATACCTGTTTTTTATCGAAAGTCAATAACAGCCATGTGCCTTGAATTAATCTTCTCATTAGCGACAGAAGCAACATATTCCAATACTCATTGTTTAAAACTGGTTATGGAAATTGTTGGCAAGGTTTAGCCAATTAACAAACCTTTAAGCCTTGATTTTATAACAGACACGTCCGTGTCTTGATACGTACTAAAAGGGCAATCTTATATCCAACGGAAGCAACATTTCCAATATTCCTCATTTGTCCAAATATATCGAGTAACTGTGAATTATTACATGTACATGTACGTATCTGTCCTACTTATCTGCCCAGTTTATATACAGCACAGTAAGCAAGCAGAAAAAAATCTGTTCAAATATCATTTTCAGGGTAAAATGAAACGATGTATTTTTCAAAGATATACTACCGGTTTATGAAACTATATGGTGGTTATTGGTCGGCTTTGGTGCTAAAAATTTGACTTCAAATGTATTTTTAAGAAAGTGAGAAAATATCATCGGACATCAAAAAAGTATTATAGATATAAAATTCACTGGTGGCGACCACATTATAAACCCGCTTACTTAGTAGTATCCTATTGCTACGTGTAGAGGTGCACACGCAAACATTTACACACACACACGTTCTTAACACTGGTATATGTTCTGAATTCAGGGCTAAGTGTTGGGATACTTTCCGCTCTGGTGGTCATCGTAGTTGTATGGGTTGTCCTGTTGATCAGTTGTCGGCTTTCAAAAAGGTAAATCGTTAATTTCTTATTAACTCAGACAGGCATCGTTGCGTGAAGCACCATAAAAAACACAAGAAGCTGTGTGTGTGTTTGTGTGTCTGCGTGTGTGTATGAGAGACAGACAGATAAATTACAAAATGACACTTTTATCTCAATATTACCTCAATATATCACCGTCTTGCTCAAAACCAAGGAATTAGCTACAATTGTAGGTCCTGCGTGTAGCTATCTAATTCCTTTGCTACATAAGTTCAGTATACATATCAGTGAAGTGCCATGAAATTGAGACTTATTTTTCTATGATTCGTGCCCAGGAATAGCTCTGGAGGAGAGACACGACCTTCTGTAAAATAGACCCCAATATACGACATATTACCAGCTGTTGTTACCCCTAAGAACAACCTAGACCAACAGAGGAACTCGTCCATTAGTTTCAGCCTGTCCAGCTATCCTTTCAAGACTTTTCAATGGTAGGAAATATACTCTTGACCAAAACAGGTTGTCACACCTCCAATCTCATGTGTTGTTATATGCAAATAAATACATTATAGTTGTAAACCGTTTAAATAGTGCTTTTAATTTGTTAAAAGTTTCAGCTTGACAAAATCGTAGAGGTTATGGAGGCCATGAAACCGTACGATTTCGCACGGCCATTGTCTGCGTGCGCGAAAAAACAAGGAATTACGAGCAGTATACGAGCAACGTACGGCCATTGCATGGTTAATGTAATCTAGGCTTTGGGTTACATCAGTTTCATCCATTTTACGATTTGGTTTAATTGATGTATCCAGCACTGTGTGACTTAATTGTATAGATTGTAAGACCGGCAGATCTAAATGAGACAAGGGGACTGAAATACATCCGTACATCAGCTTATAAAATTTGATTTTATAAATTTGGGTTCAAATCAAAGCACAGAAATAAACGTTCCGTTAAGCAAAGCAGCTGTTAGGTTGAAGTCACTGTTTTAACTCTTGTTACTTATGGTGCTTGTGTTCTCTAGGAGACGCTGTCGAGTTAGTGATGTCAGCGGAACCATGTTTGAGGAAACGCCTGACACATCCGAGGAAATTTACCACACACCTGCCAGTCTGGCGTCACCATAGCAACATGACGTCATCACCAGGCCCTGGCAGACTGAACCCAAGCGCAGACGACCCATGCTCTTGTTCTTTGGTCATGACTGAAAATATTTCCTGGGAAGAAGACTCATTCACAAATGCAGGGAGTTGTATTGACCCGATCTCAGATATAAATGGAAAATTTGATAGTGGTCAAGGTGAAAGGACGAAAGAAATTCAAGAAAATAATAAGCACGTAGAAAACATTCTTAGCCTGCGTGAAACTGAGAACAAGACATCCCCAGACATACATTACTACATTATGCTAGTGAATGTGTTTCTGCTCCACGATTCTTAGCCTCGCAACATTCTTAACTTCACCTTCAATTATCATTTCATAATGTGACCAGCACTTAGGCGTATATATATCATGCATGTGTGTGTATCTTATCTGTACACTACATGTAAGTGCCGGTACAGGTCCCTATAATGGTGAGTCGACCAGATAAAAAATCCTTGCTTAGACATTAATATTTTTAATTATTCATACTTTTCACATCAGACTGAGCTGGTTAAAATGTACGGATACTCTATTTTGAGCAGCAGTGTACTTTGTGCCTGTTTTTATCTGAAGTTAATAACAGCCGTCAGTGTCTTGAAACAAATTTAGGACAAAATTAATCTTCTCATTAGCGACAAAATCAACATATTGCATTACTCACTGTATATATATCTGATTTCGGAAATTTAGAAACTACTCAATAATTTGTCAGGATTTACCCAATTAACATACATTTAAGCCCGGATTTTATAACAGCCACATCCGTGTCTTGAAACGCACCGTTAGGAACATTTCCCATTCCTCGTTTGTCCAAAATATAGCTAATAGTGACTTAATAATTGCTTGTCAAGGTATTCTTATTGAGGCGATTTTATTGCTAAATCACAAGTAACTACTTACATAGACTGGTGTTAAGAATCAATCCATATATGCATTTGGCTCTTTTTTGTGGATATATCAATGAAATTACTTAAAATCGTGAAATGACTTAAAGGTTGACAATGCCCAGAAAATAAAAAATCCTTGAGGTTCTCACTTTTCTCAGTTTAGGCATTTGCGGTCACTAATGAAGATATATTATAGCGCGCGAGGTTATATACAGAGGCTATACAGTTAAAGTAGGGCAGATGTAATTTTACTGGATCACTGTATATTGCAAACCGGGAATTTTTAGGACACGTGAAAATACTAAAAAAAAATGATGATAATAATAATAATAATACAGATGTAAGCACTTTGTGAGCTATTTCAAAGTGAATAAGTTTTGATATATTTAAGATAAATTTCAACTGTCAACTGTTAACGTCAGCTGCAGATGTCCATTACACCAGTGGATGGGGCCGTATCATACCATTGGCTGGAAAAAGGAGAGAATTATCGTGACGCAGGTACTATAAATAACCATGTATAGTATTATACTTTATCGTTCTCTATTACGAGAAGGTAGACGCGGTACAACTGGGCGTGCGTGACAGACAGTACATGTACATGTAGTTTTCTCTATATTTAAGAAGATGTGAAATGAGATGCATTTATAACCTACCAGAGGAGAACTGAAGACAAAAGACAAAACGCAAAGACTAGTCATGAAGTAAAACGGATATATAGTTCATCAACAGAGGGGTGAAATAGGCCATGTTTACCAAAATAGGAAGAGGTCGACCAGGCTAAGACCACAATGGAAGAACAAGGGATACAAGTTCATACCTGTATGTAACTTTTAAAACGTGTAATGTCAAATGATTTTCGATATCGGCATTTGTTACTAAAACGCAACGTAAATAAACGGACAGATTCCTGTTTAAAACCAAAGAAACTTATTGCTCAGTAAAACTGATGACACGCTATCATGCCTAATAATACAGCCAGTGTAGAGGACATAGCGGTGCATATAAACGATGCAGTTAATTCATCAAACTCTTCTTTAACAAATACCGCCAACGCTAACAATTTTCCTGACGGACTGCCTTTAATAAACTGTATGATTCTGTTTATAGTCATCGTTGTGGGACTTCCTGAAAATGTATGCGTAATTTTGACAATAGCAAAGAAACGCTCGTTCAGGACTTCTATCAACACGCTAGTAGCTTATACATCTTTAATGGACGTTTTACAATGCCTCTTCGGCGCTACGCTTCATATGCGCCAGAACATCTTGGGTCAGCGGGGCCTTAGTCAATGGGAATGTTACACGCTGTCATTCGTTTCAGTTTTTACGAATATTACCAACGTTTGCCTGCTCGGTGCTATTTCTGTACTGCGCTTGATTCAGTTCTTTGCAAAGCAGAATAACCAACCGAACAGAGTGCTTATATTCATCTCTATTGTCGTCAGCACGACGGTGGGGCTGACACTGGCTACAGCTGCCACTTTTTATTCAAAAGCATCTTATTATATATGCACGAACGACGACCGGCAGTATTTACCCGGGACAGAGGAAGTCATCAACTACACGTTATTTCTGCCCGTATTTGGCCTCAGCGCCATTCTAATCGTAGTGTCTTATCTTGGTATATACTGCCGAGTTAGGAAATACGCAAGGGTCAGTCCGACTGACCATCAGGTAATGACTACAGTAGAGAATCATGACGACCATAGGGGAACCCAAATTAAAAGTGTTACCCAGCCGCAGGCACTGCCGAGGGAGGTGCAGGACCAAAGTGGAGGAGAGCCTCAAAGAAATGGCCATGAACAGCAGGGGGCTGATCCAGCAATTTCGCAAGATATTCACAAATGGGGGCATCGAACAGAATTGCAAGGCATTCACCAAGGGGTGGAACCAGCAAGTTTGCAAGATATTCACCAAGGGGCGCATCCAACAGGATTGCAAGATATTCACCAGGGTACTGATCAAAATTTACCGCAACGCGAGCAGGTGCCCGATATCCAGCAGATCCCACACCAGAGAAATGACGTCTTGGCGGCAAGGACGTTTGCCTTAGTGCTATTTGTATGGCTACTTCTCTATCTCCCACTACCCGTCATCGGAGCCTGGAAGTTCAGGCATGGAATGACTCCCCAGCTGAAACATATCAGGTAAGTTACATGTAGCATCAATGTCCACTTCACATGTTGTCGATAAAAAAGGCCAAAATCTGTTTGACAAAGGTTTAGGGACTCAAATGTCGACTTTCATTTCATAGAACTGACTTAGTTTTTTGTCACATTTTCTCTTCCTTTTCTAATTCAATTATTCTTTCACATTTTGTATGATTACACAGCTACAAAAGATCGCAAGTTGAAATTAAACGGCTTTAAAAGCTTAAAGCTTATTCTCCCCTAGCAAAAAAAAAAGCGTCACCCCAAATGCAACGCGAAAAGTGATACAGGAAATCATGCCATGAATCAATGTTCTTTATTCAACTGATAAAATGATTTTTTTCACATAAATAACCAAATGTGAATAAGGTACTCCATAGTAAAAAAAAACAAAGGTACCTTTTAGTATTTTATACAGTATCCTCTGGCTTGGAGGACGCACCTGCAGTTCGTTTTCTACGAGGAAGGCGTGCTAGCATCCTATTTTTGGTTTGGTTTCCTTCGTTCGGCCATATCCAGGCCATCTTGCCTGATTGGTTGATTCGTTATTGCGCTTGATTCGTTATGATGTCGTGTAACCTCTGAATGGTTCTCGTCAAACAACCCAGCCTTCTGGCAATTCGACGGGTCAAAACTCCCTTCTGTAGCAATGTACATAATTGCGCTTGGAGTGGCACTTTTTTTGCTAGGAAGTATATAATTTTTCACAAAAATAAAGCAGTTTTCATCTTTTGGAAACCAATATATTTTATAGGTCTTTCTTCGCCTCTCTTAACTGTATGAGCGCTGTTTTGAACCCCCTGATCTATTGGTACGGTTCAAAGAAGTTTCGGAAGGCAATCAGCTGCGTGTGCCGGTGCTAGATGTAAAACACGTTTCACACATGAAGGCGTGCCTTGTGCGACCGTGAAACTGGCCAGGCCGCAGTTGGGGGAACGGTGATCACTTTACGTATGGAGACAAACAGGACCATGTGGTCGGGGTACAGACCTTCCCTTGTCACAACAGTAGAATGGTATTATAAGAAGAGACAAGATATCTAAGAAGATGGGGGGAAATTAAACGCGCCATCCTCCCAGATCTGCCATTACCGATATTAAATCAAACATTTGAAGAAGTTAGACTCTCAACGTGATGGCAGAAAAATGCAGTTATCTATGACCGAACGTTCACGTTATCATTATGATAGAGTTGCTGTTTCCTCCGACACCTTTATATTTGATAGGTCAAGCGGAATTAAATACAGTATGTCTGCATGCATGTGAATAACTAGTAAGACCCCATTTCCAGAGATTAGATCGATCTACTTTAGATCGACCTAACTCCCTGGGGGTTCTGCTAAATAGCTGTCAGCCGGGCGGACACGAAAGTTAATTACCCCCTTACAGTTTGTAGTAGGCGGGACGGACATTTAAGCCGGATTATCTGACAGTAATCTAGTGAGACTCCCCGCGGGGATAGATCGGTCTAAAAGCTCTGGGAATACAGACTAAGAAACACATTATGCTACGTAAATTTTACGTTTACCTTAGGAAAACAGTTTAGGCCACACTTTTTTATTTTTATGGATGACATCCTCTGGGGACCCCGAAATCGGTGCGAGAGGGCGAAAAAAAACAGTCCAAAAAAAAAAGTACTGCTTAATACCCCTTTACACTGGACGGCGTCCTTTCTGCGTCCAGCAGTACGGCTTAAGTAAAGGAATAATGTTTAAGAAAACGTGTTATTTTCTCCCAACGTCCATGTTATTCATGGTTATTATTTTGAATCAAAAAGGGAGCCATAATTCTGGATATAGCAATTAGGACGTCTTATAAATTTGCACGGATTTGTCATGGATAAAAGAATCACAAGTCTACACATATGCAGAGTAGAGGTATAGTAAACGACCTGAAGGTAAAATTAATATCAGTAAATATAAAAATGATGCAGGCTACGCTGTTCATTAACCTCCGCCAAGTTTCTTAGGGCGTATTCCCATAGATTTTAGATCGATCTATCCCCGTGGGGAGTCTCACTAGATTACTGTCAGATAATCCGGCTTAAATATCCGTCCCGCCTACTACAAGTTGCAGCCCGCTCGGCTGACAGCTATTTAGCGTGAACCCCCAGGGAGTTAGGTCGATCTAGTTTGGGTCGATCTAATCTCTGGGAATGGGGTCTTACAGTCTTTGGAGAATACAGTTAAAGAAATAGCTTTGATATTTATTTATTTTCTTAATAAGAAAATGCAAGTTAACCTTGAAATCTCTGAAAGTTTACTCTGGATGTCTTTATTGTCAATATTCTGCTAGCAAACAGTACGTGTGGCAATCTAGGCTCGTTAATTCTCGCTGATTTATAACTTTATAATCACTGTATATGGCAATTTTATGTGATAATTATTAAAAATTCGTTCTGTTAATTTCTTGGCAGAAAGAAATAATAACGTTAAGCGTCAAATGTTCGTCTTAGCTTCAACAGCCTTCCGCGAGCATCATTAAATTTCAATAACATTGTGAATGCGTACCCTTTACCAGGGTTACATATTAATTTTTCACAAAATATTCACATATTGTTTTCTGGATTATATATAACAAATATCTCTGCGGAAAAATGCACATAATTAATCTGCAGCCCTGGTAGAAGATAATAAATGAGAATGGCACAGAAACTGTAAAAGCTCTTGTAAGATTAGATTTCAATATAAAATATTCTTATTTGCTGATATTTTTAATTGTTAAATGTAGTCCTAGTACAGTAGTTATTGAATATTTTGTCAAGATATTGTTGATCGTAAAATGTACTGAATAAATAAATTGATTAAAACATCGCCTAATTTAGTGGTACGCCACAGCTGCAAAACCAGACCTGCCCAACTACCACACTCGGCACATAAGGATCCTGAATTAACCGGTATAGCGGACCACACTACCCGTTTTCAAGGTGTGTGTCAGATCGCACTTCGCAGTATCATTCCCCAGAACAAATTTTGTAGGACGACCGCGGGCTCATCCTGTCGGTGTTCTTTCGTTCTTCGAACACCCCCCCCCCCCGGCTACGGGCATGAGGTCTATATCGATTTTATATTCTATTTTTTTAATCAAATTACTGATTTATTGCTTTTATTTGTTCTCGTCTCCTTTGACTTCCAATACGTCCTTGACATATGGTACAGACCCGTAGCCAGCAATTTCAAAGGGGAGGTTCTTTTTCTGAAAAAGTGGACCTTTTACCATATAATCCCCATGTACCTAGGTCAAATTTTACCCAGAGTGGACCTTATTCCAGCAAAAAGGGGGGTTCTTTCGAACCCCCCGAACCCCCCTGGCTACGGGCCTGTGGTAAAATATCGGCACACGTTCACAGGTGGTATACGTAATAATGGGTTTTTAGACTTTCACAATGTTTATTTATATTTCTACTTCACGAGACTTTACTTTGTGGGATTCAACGCGGCGATTAAAACACAAACTTTGACAATTTCTCATTGTTCTCATCCTTAAAAATTATTAAATTTGTAGACATTAATGTTTAATGTCTTTAGATTTTTACTTTCGGGGGGGAGGGGGGGTATTTAGCTCATCAGTTCCAAAATATATTTGTAAATATGGCAGTGTCTAGCTCGTCTAAATTTTTGGTCATTTCATCCGAGGTCCAAAACTCATCTTTTTCCCCGGTCTCGAGTCAAAAGCTACAAGTAGACAAATCACATCATATGGAGAGCTTGTATCAAAAAGATATCTTTTAATTCCAATTTATTAGCTTACTTACTTATAGTTAGTTATGGCGATTTTCTGACACAGGCCCCGTCAGGCCCTCTTCATCACTCTTAACTTTGTGGTATATTTTTTATGACTTAGTACACAATTCTTATTCTTATCCTCTGACATCAGGGGGTTACAAAATTTAAGTAGCGGCAATACAATAATTTTGTTACAGACGCCCCTGTGGCCAGAGAATAGCTTATTCTGCAGTCTTTTTGCTAGCTACCTTCTAACATGCAGCCATGCCATGGGTCTCTCCTCCGTTTTAGATGGTAGACACTTCAAGGTGAAAATATTTTAGCAGATTTATACCTCCAAGAATGTTGTCGTTCACATAAAACATCAGTGGTGCTATTTATTTCTCTATAAATAAAGTAATAATGAATTTTATTTATGATATAATTAATAAACACTGTCTCTGTCTCAGTGACATCGAGTGCTTCGTTCATGCTGCGTTTGTCGCACCATCATCATCATAATATGCATGTGTCTTATAATATCAAATTAACGTGACGGTATCATGATTTTCCTTTCAATATCTCTACTGTCTGTGACAGTACTGTAACTGTCTTACGATTACAATCATCACCTTTACCGTCTATGACAGTGCGCTGTTGATGACTAAGGTATCACTGCCACTGTACATTTTTTACGAAATCTGCACAAATCTCTGGCTAATTCTCTGCATTTTGTCCAGCAAGAATTAATTCAAATTGTGCACAGAACTTATTTCATCACTCAGCTGACATCTGGTAAAGAATTTTAATGTCACTGTATCCTAATTGTGAATTGCATTATACCATTCTTTTGCTGGCTTAAGAATGAAACTGAAAATGGTGTTAAATTTTTGGCAAACCAAATATAACTTTCACAATACAGAAATGGAAAAGTAATTTTTTTTGCAATAAAAATTAACTTCTTTGGCAGTTTGTTTTGGTTTCATGTGTCTAATGAAAGAAGTCATCCCTGTCATTATGGTTATATAAAAGTGCTGGCATACTTTCAGTTTGGATGATGAGAAAATTGAATCTAATGTTAGATCTTGCGTAAAAACCCGAAATCACTTTGATACTGTAACTGTATTGCTTTTGCAATATCCCAATATTGTAGTAGCACTGGGTTACAATGTATCCATCTCCTGAACTTTCGTTCAAAAGATCTGATCACTAATAACATTATCAGTTAGACTCTTACTGCAACATTAATGTAAAATTAATGCAGAATTTCAACACAATTGTATCACTATGTTCTGCACATCTAATCTACTATACTTTAAGCATCCCCAAATTGCTCGTTATCACAACTGTATCGTCATTGTCACTGTCAGGTACATTATGATTATGGTTATGATTATCTGGGACTTCTCCTAACACTTTTAACCTATGACGTTCTTCGGCTCTTTTCTTCTTCTCAAGTTTCTTCTGTTTTCCTAGTTGTCTTGCAGCACCCTTTTGATGATTCTGACCCTGTGAAATTAAAAAGGCAAAAGCATTTTAGGTCTCGGACTTGGATTGGGGGGGGTTGGCAGCTATTGAAGGTCCAGCAGTTAAAAATGGCCTACAATACATGCAAGCAGGTTACTTGCACTGGCTGTGGTATACTTATCTAGACACTGAATGAAGGTAAAGTAAGTAGATTACTGAAGGAAAGAGTAAGATATTTCTGATGGACAGGGAAAAATCATCTTACACTTAATAAAATCCTGCAAATATATTTTTTTTAAAAATATCTGGGGAGAGGGGGGGGGTCAATGGCAGAGGAATAAATATTCTATGAGCTGTAACTGCAAAAAGACAAGGGTACTAAGCAGAACTGTATATAGGAAATGGTTAATTAACGATACCCTGAATGCTCACCTTAGGTTTAGCTCCACTCTCGGCCCCTGGATTCCCAAAAATTCTCGTCCCCGTTCCGTGGTGGGACCATATGCCACTGTCCACACTGACAGAGTCTGAGGAAGCTGCCGCAAAACTACTGGAAACTGATGACCCTGGATCTGAAAATACCAGCACTTAGCAATGTAGGGCGTACAGTCCTGTAGGAAAGTTTGTTTTTTTTCCTCATTTTACTGTTGATAAACAATCATTTAGGAAGAAGAGATAACATTAGCTGTCATGGTTGCGTGCTTTTGAGTTTAGACTGCTATCAATAGTCTGCAAAACACACTTAGTTGACTACTGTATAGCAGATTTGGGAAAGTCAACTTAGTCTAGTCATTTTTTTTTTTTTTTGGCAAAAAGTCTTGAAATTTGATTTGAAAACTTTAATCCTGTCAATTTTCATCATGCTGACTATCTTACCAACACCCCTGTCTTCCAGAGTGACCATTATACTCAGTAAATGATCAACTGCTGACTCCACATCATAGTTATTTTCTTCTAGAACTTCCCTGACCAGAGAGACATCCTGTAGAAAATGAAAACAAAGTCTTGTCAAATAATGTTTCACTTGTATTTTATACAGGTCTGTCGTCAGAAAGAAATTCGTTTAAGTTTTCATTATAAAAAATTGCATTTTGTGTAAAATACAGTCCGTCTGTTCATCCCTCCTTTCTTCCCTCCATCCATCTATCCATTCATCCATCCATCCATCCATCCACCCACCCATCCATTCCTCTGTAATGTTTATCCGGGCTGAAAAATGAAAATCATAAGGGTCATTTTTTAAAATATATATTGAAAAATAAACATAATTTTTTTNTGGTTTCATGTGTCTAATGAAAGAAGTCATCCCTGTCATTATGGTTATATAAAAGTGCTGGCATACTTTCAGTTTGGATGATGAGAAAATTGAATCTAATGTTAGATCTTGCGTAAAAACCGGAAATCACTTTGATACTGTAACTGTATTGCTTTTGCAATATCCCAATATTGTAGTAGCACTGGGTTACAATGTATCCATCTCCTGAACTTTCGTTCAAAAGATCTGATCACTAATAACATTATCAGTTAGACTCTTACTGCAACATTAATGTAAAATTAATGCAGAATTTCAACACAATTGTATCACTATGTTCTGCACATCTAATCTACTATACTTTAAGCATCCCCAAATTGCTCGTTATCACAACTGTATCGTCATTGTCACTGTCAGGTACATTATGATTATGGTTATGATTATCTGGGACTTCTCCTAACACTTTTAACCTATGACGTTCTTCGGCTCTTTTCTTCTTCTCAAGTTTCTTCTGTTTTCCTAGTTGTCTTGCAGCACCCTTTTGATGATTCTGACCCTGTGAAATTAAAAAGGCAAAAGCATTTTAGGTCTCGGACTTGGATTGGGGGGGGTTGGCAGCTATTGAAGGTCCAGCAGTTAAAAATGGCCTACAATACATGCAAGCAGGTTACTTGCACTGGCTGTGGTATACTTATCTAGACACTGAATGAAGGTAAAGTAAGTAGATTACTGAAGGAAAGAGTAAGATATTTCTGATGGACAGGGAAAAATCATCTTACACTTAATAAAATCCTGCAAATATATTTTTTTTAAAAATATCTGGGGAGAGGGGGGGGGTCAATGGCAGAGGAATAAATATTCTATGAGCTGTAACTGCAAAAAGACAAGGGTACTAAGCAGAACTGTATATAGGAAATGGTTAATTAACGATACCCTGAATGCTCACCTTAGGTTTAGCTCCACTCTCGGCCCCTGGATTCCCAAAAATTCTCGTCCCCGTTCCGTGGTGGGACCATATGCCACTGTCCACACTGACAGAGTCTGAGGAAGCTGCCGCAAAACTACTGGAAACTGATGACCCTGGATCTGAAAATACCAGCACTTAGCAATGTAGGGCGTACAGTCCTGTAGGAAAGTTTGTTTTTTTTCCTCATTTTACTGTTGATAAACAATCATTTAGGAAGAAGAGATAACATTAGCTGTCATGGTTGCGTGCTTTTGAGTTTAGACTGCTATCAATAGTCTGCAAAACACACTTAGTTGACTACTGTATAGCAGATTTGGGAAAGTCAACTTAGTCTAGTCATTTTTTTTTTTTTTTGGCAAAAAGTCTTGAAATTTGATTTGAAAACTTTAATCCTGTCAATTTTCATCATGCTGACTATCTTACCAACACCCCTGTCTTCCAGAGTGACCATTATACTCAGTAAATGATCAACTGCTGACTCCACATCATAGTTATTTTCTTCTAGAACTTCCCTGACCAGAGAGACATCCTGTAGAAAATGAAAACAAAGTCTTGTCAAATAATGTTTCACTTGTATTTTATACAGGTCTGTCGTCAGAAAGAAATTCGTTTAAGTTTTCATTATAAAAAATTGCATTTTGTGTAAAATACAGTCCGTCTGTTCATCCCTCCTTTCTTCCCTCCATCCATCTATCCATTCATCCATCCATCCATCCATCCACCCACCCATCCATTCCTCTGTAATGTTTATCCGGGCTGAAAAATGAAAATCATAAGGGTCATTTTTTAAAATATATATTGAAAAATAAACATAATTTTTTCCAACTTTCAGCAACCATGAGAAAAATTTTATCTGTATCAAAACTTACTGCACAGCCTGTCATCTTCATCACATTTTCCTGCACATCCTCCTCGCTCCTCACAATCCTCGCTACCTCATCATCGTAACCATAGTCCTCAGTATCACAGTAAGCATCGTAGTTATCACCATTATAATAGGAGTATTCATATGGTTTCTTGGGGTTTTTAGATTTTGTGGACTTTGGTTCTTCATCACCAATCTAGAGAACACAAGAAGTCACATTAAATTTTACATACATCACACAACTAGTACTATACATGTGAACAGTACAAACTGTGAGACATTTAATATTATAAAGAATAAATATATGCAAATTCCGGATTTATATTATATATGAATATTAGTTTCCACAATTTCTGGATTCCTAGAAACTAGACATCCTATTGATAACTCAGGACACAATATTTTCACATTTTTGTCCAATTTATGATAGAAAAAGATATTGTTAGCTTGCTAGAGCCTGTCACATGGCAGCTACACTGTATCCTCCCAGGATAGGCTACATCATCCCAGTATGTAATTCCCTTCTTCTTATTTTTACCATGCTATATTCATATACTTCAAATAATTGTACAATCGAATCACTGTCAGTCGCAAATAATTTATAAACATTGTAACAGTAAAAAAAATTAAATAAAAGAATTAAATAGAAAATTAACATAATATATTTTGTATATTTACCTGTAGTTTAATGCTAGTGGGTGACTCTGACTTGTCCCCAATCTTCCGTACGCTGGAGTAGTGATCTCCATTGTGATAGGAGATGTGTAACTGCCTGGCGTTGGTCTTCTCTGTGCCGTGGATCTGTAAAATAATATCCCTGAATCAGATGTAAAGAATGACTCAGAAGAAGATTCAAAACTGCCAAAACCTTTGTCTGTGTCATGTAGCTGTTAAATCATAAAAAATACTACGGCTGTAAGACTCCATTTCCAGAGATTAGATCGATCTACTTTAGATCGACCTAACTCCCTGGGGGTTCACGGGTAGCTGTCAGCCGGGCGGACACGAAAGTTAATTACCTCCTTACAGCTAGTAGTAGGCGGGACGGACACTTAAGCCAGATTATCTGACAGTAATCTAGTGAGACTCCCCGCAGGGATAGATCGATCTAAAAGCTCTGGGAATACAGCCTAAGTCTCAGTATGTCACACTGGCCTCCTTATATTGGCAGTTTTAACGGCCCAGACAGTTGTGAGCTACCCCTCTTCTCTCTCTCTCTCTCTCTCAAAAAAAAAAAATAATAACTTAAAATGTGTGACAAATATGAGTTTTTACTGTAAGTGCAAAACAGATGAACTCATACATAATGTAGTCTTGTCACAGCTTTAATACTGAAAACAGACATATTGGTCATATATCAAAAACAACTTTCCAATTGGTCATACATTTCAGACAAATTGGAAAAAAACAAGAAGTTTTTCTAGAAAACAGGAAAAATAAGAATGTGTTAAAAAGAGGAAAAATAAAAACTTGACACCTTGTTATGAAACCAGTGGTTAATCATGCAATTCTCAGTATGGGACTTCACTTGATAAACCTGCTAATCACCTCTTCCACTGAAACTTGGCAACTTGACATATCAACCTGACACATCACGCTGACATGACAGTGTATCACAAGGTTCAAATCATGACCCTTTCTTTTTTGTGGCCACAATCTTTGACCTCAACCAATCCACTGACACATTTGAATATGATGACGACACTACTGTAATTAGTTTTAGCATCAATAGCTCTTCAGACCAATTGCAAACTGCTGCAACAGAAACCCTTCATAGGTCACAAGAACCTCTATAAATTCCAAGAAAACAAAGAAGATTAGGTTCAATTTTTCAATATGGGTCATGAATTCCATCTAATAACAACAGATAGAGTAAAACCATAGCCAGAGTGAAATGTGCCGTATTCTTGGGGCCCAGTGTAAGCCAAGTTTGGAATTGGGCAACCCATGTCAATCACATTTACACAAAAGCTAGCCAGATAATATATATTACAAGAACTTTGAAGAAAGTGGAGCACTCGCCTTAAGACTTGCTGAACAGACTATGCTGTGTAAGTGTGGTATCCTGGACTGACAAAGTGCCAAGCCCCCCCAAAAAATTTTTTTTCAAGGAAACCGTTTTCAACATACTGTATCCAAACAAATCCTACACCAAGGCATTACAAAAGACAAACTCTATCCTTTTGCAAAGCAGGTGCAGTAATTTGTGTGTATGGAATAGCATGGATTGAATCATTTGAAACCAAAAGTAAAAGAACATTTACATCCCCTAAGACTCTAGCAGAACTTAAATGCCCCAAAACTTACAAATGTTATATCTATAAAGACTTTAATCCCATGGGCCCTCAGAAATTTTAATGTAATAGTATAAACCTTAAACTACTTTACAGAAGCTGATTAATTTAATATTTTAATAACTGAATTTTTCTTTTAAGTTTTTGAACTATTTTTAAGAAGCAGTTTGATTTAATATTTTAACAAATGAATTAAGATAAGAGTTTATTAGATAAGATAAGAGTTTATTCAGCCATTAATATATAAATATAAAATTCATATAAAACAGAAATTGGACTGCTATTAGGGTTACAAATTATAAATAAATAAATTATAAATTTCCATTTTTGTTGTTAAAATAAGACACAGCAGATGGGTAAAAACTCTTTAAAAACCTTTTAGATCCCTTAAAAGTTAAAAGCCTGCAGTTGCTCGGTAAAAATTTTAAAAGCCCATGTGCGGGGTGGGTATAGTCAGACATGATTTTCTCTGTTTTTGTCACTGATCTATTAGTATAGATGGCACCTAGAGAGGGGAGTTCCAGACTGATGATTTTGCCGCACGTTGATGTGACCATATCTAGACGCTTGCGTTCTTCTACAGTGGCCCGCCCATACCATACTATGATTGCAAATGTTAATATACTTTCTATAACGCATTTGTAAAAGTTTGCTAAAATCATTTCATTTGAAGTAAAATCCTTCAACTTTCTTAAAAAATATACCCTTTGCCTCGCTTTTTTTAACTGTTTGTCTATGTGGTCCTTCCATGTAAGTGAGCTATTGAATTCTATCCCCAACAGTCTAAAATTGGCTACTTGCTTTACTGCAGTGCCACTGATATGAATGGGTTCTTTCACATTTCTATTCTTTCTGAAGTCAACAATCATTTCCTTAGTCTTCTCTACATTCAGTAACAAATCGTTGTCTTTACACCATTGTACAACTGAGTTGACATCGTTTCTATACCAGGTCTCATCATTATCACTTATTAAGCCAATTAAAGTGGTGTCGTCTGCAAACTTCACGATGCAATTACTCTCATGAGATGAAACACAATCATACGTGAACAAGCTGTACAGACATGGTGACAGAACACAACCCTGAGGCACACCTGTATTTAAAACCACAATATCAGAAGTACTTGTACCCACTACGACATGAAGAATTGTTCTTTTATGTTTTAATGTCATAATGTCTTTTACTAACTTTTACTAACTTTTATAACTTACATGTAAAGTCAACCTTTTAGTTGCAAGAATTAATATTATTATTATATTTATCATTTTTATCTATTTATTTATTTTATTATAATAATTTTTTTTTTTTTGTTATCTTTTCTCTACCATGCACGGTACTTTAACATGACATGTAGGTCCAAGCACAGTTAGTCAATATCTTAACCAAATTTCTCTGAACCTTAATAAACATTTCAATTTTAACTAAGGTTTTTTATGTTATTTTATTTAATATTATGATAACCAAAGTGGCACAAAACATTATTTCTAGACCAAAAATTAGGAAATTTCTCTAAAAAATAAGAAAAATAGGAATATCTAAAAATAAATAAAGAAAGAAAAGAAAAATGGAAAAAAAGAAGAACTTGACACCCTCGAATATTCTTATTTTAAGAGTTTATGACTTGAAAAAAACAGTATTTTAATACCATATTTGACCATATTAAATACAGTATTCAAAATTCACTATTTTCCTCATTATTGAAAAGATTGTGTCATTACCGTATCCATAATAATAACTAGAGGATCAGAGAGGCGATACCGCCTCCGAATATTGTACCACCAGCTGGAGCAAGAGCANTCCAACTTTCAGCAACCATGAGAAAATTTTTATCTGTATCAAAACTTACTGCACAGCCTGTCATCTTCATCACATTTTCCTGCACATCCTCCTCGCTCCTCACAATCCTCGCTACCTCATCCTCGTAACCATAGTCCTCAGTATCACAGTAAGCATCGTAGTTATCACCATTATAATAGGAGTATTCATATGGTTTCTTGGGGTTTTTAGACTTTGTGGACTTAGGTTTTTCATCACCAATCTAGAGAACACAAAAAGTCACATTAAATTTTACATACATTACACAACTAGTACTACACATGTGAACAGTACAAACTGTGAGACATTTAATATTATAAAGAATATATTTAAGCAAATTCCTGATTTATATTATATATTACTATAATTTTCCACGATTTCTGGATTCCTAGAAACTAGACATCCTATTGATAACTCAGTACACAATATTTTCACATTTTTGTCTAGTTTATGGCAGAAAAAGATGTTGTTAGCTTGCTAGCTTAAGAGCCTGTCACCCGGCAGCTGTGCTGTATCCTCCCAAGATAGGGGGAGATCCTCCCAGTATGTAATGCCCTTCATCTTCTTTAAACCATACTATATTTAAATACTTCACGTAATTATCCAATCCCATCACTGTCAGTCGCAAATGATTTATAAACATTGTAAAAAAAATTAAATAAAAGAATTAAATAAAAAAATAACATAATATATTTTGTATATTTACCTGTAGTTTAATGCTAGTGGGTGACTCTGACTTGTCCCCAATCTTCCGTACGCTGGAGTAGTGATCTCCATTGTGATAGGAGATGTGTAACTGCCTGGCGTTGGTCTTCTCCGTGCCATGTATCTGTAAAATAATATCACTGATGTAAAGAATGACTCAGAGAAAGATTTAAAACTGCCAAAAACTTTGTCTGTGTCATATAGCTGTTAAATCATAAAATCTGTGGCCAGATTCAATCAAATTGAAATTATAAAGTTATATTGGCAATTTTAATGGCCCAGACAGTTGTGAGCTACCCCTCTCTCTCTCTCTCTCTCTCTCTCTCTCACACACACACACACACACACACACCAACTTTCTCTCTCTCAAAAAAAAAAAAAAAATTAAAATGTGTGACAAATATGAGTTTTTACTGTATGTGCATACGTAATACGTAATGTAGTCTTGTCACATAGTTAATACTGAAAACAGACATATTGGTCATACATTTCAGACAAGTTTTCAATTAGTCATACATTTAAGACAACTTGGAAAAAAACAAGAAGTTTCTCTAGAAAACAGGAAAAATAAGAATGTGTTAAAAAGAGGAAAAATAGAAACTTGGCACCTTGTTATGAAACTATTTACACCCCATTTCCATAGATTTTTAGATCGATCTATCGCTGTGGGGTGTCTCACTAGATTACTGTCAGCTTGGCCGGCTTAAGCGTCCGTCCCGCCTACTACAAGCTGTAAGGGGGTAATTAACTATGGTGCCCGCTTGGCTGACTGCAATTTAGCCCGAACCCCCAGGGAGTTAGGTCGATCTAAAACTTAATCTTTAGATCGATCTAAATCTCTGGGAAAGCACCCTTAATTATGCAATTTTCAGTATGGGAATTCACTTGATAAACCTGCTTATCACCTGTTCCACTAAAACTTGGCAAATGGCAACTTGACATATCACCCTGACATGTCAAGCTAACAAGTCACACTGACATGTCAAGCTAACATGTCACACTGACATGCCAGTGTATTACAAGATTCAAATCACGACCCTTTATTTTTTTGTGGTCACAATCTATGACCTCAACCCATCCACTGACACATTTGAATACCAAGACGACATTAATTAGTTTTAGCACCAATAGCTCTTCAGACCAACTGCAAACTGCTGCAACAGAAACCTTTCAAAGGTCACGACTCACAAGAAAACAACATGTCAATAAATTCCAAGAAAACAAAGGAGATGAGATTCGATTTTTCAACAATGGATCATAAAATTCCAGCTAACAGCAACAGATAGAGTAAAACCATAGCCAGAGTGAAATGTGCCCTATTCTGGGGCCCAGTGTAAGAGACCATTTCCACAGATATTTAGATCGATCTATCCCCCTGGGGAGTTTCACTAGATTGCTTAAATGTCCGTCCCGCCTACTAAAAGCTGTAAGGGGGTAATTAAGTTTGGTGTGCGCTCGGCTCCCGGAAGCTGACAGCAATCCACATTTTATTTTATGATAACCAAAGTGGCACAAAACATCATTTCTAGACCAAAAAATTAGGAAATTTCTCGAAAAAAAATGAGAAAAATAGGAATATCTAAAAAATCAATTAATAAATAAATAAAACAAAAAGAAAAAGAAAAAAGAAGAACCTGACAACCACTGACACCTAATTTTAAGAGTTTATGACTTGAAAAAATACACTATTTTAATACCATATTTAACCATATTAAATACAGTATACAAAATTCACTATTTTCCCCCTCACTGAAAAGACATTACTGTAACCACAATAATACGACTCACCTGCCACAGTGGGGAACTCAGCTGATGTATCACCACATTCACTCCATGTAGTCGAGCAAAAGCTACCAAAGCGTCATTTCCAGCGTATGTGCCTTGCTTCTTCAGTAGAGCAACTGGGAGAAAAATGGGTCAAGATCAAATGACATAATAATTCAATCAATTATATATATTTGGAATTTTTTGTGATTTTTAACATATGTCTAACTGGTCCAAGGTCACCTCATAAGTCCTTATTAGTATGCATATTTAGAGGGATAACAACTGTTCGTTTTAATAAAAAAAAGGATTTTCATGGGGGAAACAATGGGTTAATGAATCCATCGGACATTTAGTGATAGTGTTAAACTTGTTTTTAATTTTTTTTTAATTTTTATCTATAAAGAGAGAGAGAGAGAGAGAGAGAGAGAGAGAGAGAAAAATAAACGAAATCCATTACTCACTGTGTCTTTCAAAGGGAACATCGTCTTCCACAAAAGGTTCAAAGTCTTGCTTGTTCTGTATCATATACTCTGTGGTGTCCAGTCTGTGTTTGTAGTGGTTGCGAGCATGGCCTTCCAGTTGGTCCCCAAGAGCTCGAAACAGACAGTTCCTGGAGCAAGAGAAGTCCTACTGATTAACAACACTTAGTGGTATTCTGTTATAAATGGATTTTCTTTTGATTACTACTTTTTTACCTTTGCCTATAAGGCTATAATGATTACATTTCTTGTTACTAATACTGAAGTCAGTAGAATTTAAGTTCCTAGATTTTTTTCCAGATTAATGATGCTAAAATTATGAGTGGATTTTCTTTGTTTATAATTAGACAACTTCGTAGTACCTTATGTGTCTTCTTACAACAGTGTAAAAGCTACCAGTAATTGGGGGTACGGGCAATCCAAAATTACCACCTGTAATTTCCTACAAAATTTCAGGGAGTCCAAATATGGCTAAAGCAAACAAAAAAAAAAAAAAAAAAAAAAAAAAAAACATAAGCCCTTCAGTCATCTTTGAAAATATAGGCCATCCTATGACGTTGGCAGCCGCAGCCGTCCAAAAGACGGCTGGACAGTTTGCTGGGAAAACCCTTGCTGACAACATAAGTCTATTCTGACAACACTCAGGCCACAGCTTACCCATCTCCCGGAATATCTCTCAACTCCAACCCAAGTTTCCCAAGCTGGTTCTTAAAACTGCCAAAATTATCATCGTCCGCAAGGTAAGACTCCATTTTCTTAGTTCTTTGGTGCGCTTGCCGGACTGCACGCTCGTCCTTCTTGCGAGCCATGGCGTCGAGTCTCTGACCTTTGGTTAAATTACGATGACCTGAGCCCTTTGATCTTCCTGACATGTGCAATGACAGTACCTATGTCATGTGTCTTCATACAAAAAAGGGTATGACTAATGATTTCTCTGGTCAACTTATAAAAGAGTACGTACAATCTATCTCTTCTAGGTTCAGCTCACATTAAAGAAAAAATATCCTCAAGATAATTCTGGATGTTTTCCTTAAGCGTTCTTCTACTTCAGCAATAAACATCTACTTCACAACCTGAAAAGCAATACAACACATTAGATGGTAAATGTCGGTTACTTTCTCATGACCTTTGAAATTGGCAGTCATGTTCAAATAAAGAAACCTACAGCAAAATGTATAAGAATGGTGTGTTTGTTTGTATCTGGTGGTAGCTGGTTGAAGAGTGCTTAAAGGTTTCCTATCAGCAATTTGTCCAAATTTTCAAAACTGGCAGTCTTGTTAAAATAAAGAAACCTAAGCAAATGTATCAGAATGATGCATTAGTATGTATCTGACATTAGCTGGCTGAAGAGTGCTTAAGGGTGTCCTATCAGCGATTTTCTACCAGATTGAATTATCTAAAAAAAACTCTAACTCATAAATCATTGGAATGACACGTGCACTTTAAATAAGTATAAACACACAGCAACAGTAAAAATATATTTGCTAAAAAATGAACGAAAATAATAAATAGCCTGAGACCAGTATACATATCAGTGACACTGGTTTTCATCGTCCAACCCAAGGTCAAAAATACACACATCTCCCGATTTTCTTGGCAACAAATTTGAAGAGAGCTCATCTTTTTGAATGAAAGCATAATATCTTAAGCCAATTTATACATATTACAAACTATGATTGGGCTATTAAACATACATGAAAAAATTTACAATGGGATGACGGGTGAGGTTTAAATACTCCAGAACAGGGTAATTTTTCATGGACGTGAGAGAAACAGTAAATTGGACACATGACAGCACTGTTTAAATACGCTTTAGACTAAATAATATTTATCATTATAATACAAAATAAACATAAATGTACTTTATACCTGTAGTTCTTGGTCCACCTGTAGCCTTAATCCTAAATTCGACAACTTTTGAGCAAATAAAACCGCAACTTGAAGTTGCCGAGAGTTGTGACATATACCGGAAGTTTACTTGCTAAGTGAAGAGACATGCGCAATAAGATCATTGCGTTAGAGAAGAAAGACGCAACTCAACAATCACAATTTGAAAAACAACTTTGAGACCAGCTGGAGTAGGCTAACGAAAATACTACCTTCGCAATCAGTTGCTTCCTTGAAGAAGTTGGCTTTTTTTTATTAATTTTTGTGGCATATCATTATTGATCTTTATCATAAGATAATGAAAACTGAAAAACTATCGGCTATTTCACAATCAGATGTACACTTTATGGTCCACTTTCGACCAAATATGAACTTCACCCAACAGAGGTTTGAATACCAGTAGGGCATTAGTATAGATCTTGGGCATAATCCCTTCAAATGTTTTTGCACCGTTTCTCTTTGTTTTTGTTTGACACTAAAATGACTGGATGGGTCTCAAACAGGGGACGGACGCTACATTTTTACAAGTCAATTACANGTGGTACAATAATAGCACTCACCTGCCACAGGGGAGAACTGAGCTGATGTATCACAACATTCACTCCATGGAGTCGGGCAAAAGCCACCAAAGCGTCATTTCCAGCGTATGTGCCTTGCTTCTTCAGTAGAGCAACTGGGAGAAAAACGGGTGAAGATCAAATAACAAAATAGTTCCATCAATTATATTTATTTGGAATTTTTTGTGATTTTTACTATATGTTTAACTGACCCAAGGTCACTTGATAAGTCCTTATTTGTATGCATATTTAGAAGGATAACAACTTTTTGTTTTAATGAAAAAAAAAGGATTTTCATGGGGGAAACAATGATTTCCCCATACTTACAAATGGTTAATGAATCCATTCGGACATTTAGTGTTAGCGTTAAACTTGTTTGGAATTTTTAAAAAATTTTTTTCTATAAAGAGAGAGAGAAAGAGGCAAATAAATGAAGCCTATCACTCACTGTGTCTTTCAAAGGGAACATCATCTTCCACAAAAGGTTCAAAGTCTTGCTTGTTCTGTATCATATACTCTGTGGTGTCCAGTCTGTGTTTATAGTGGTTGCGAGCATGGCCTTCCAGTTGGTCCCCAAGAGCTCGAAACAGACAGTTCCTGGAGCAAGAGAAGTGCTACTGATTAACAACACTTAGTGGTATTCTGTTATAAATGGATTTTCTTTTAATTTCTTTTTTACTTTTGCTTATAATGATTACATTTTACTGATACTTAAAGATGCATACAAAGTCACTTTTTTGTCACAAAAACCAACCAAATGCCAGAATATAGTTTCAAGTAGTATAACTAAGAGAATTTCCAAAAGGCATTGTTTAATTTTACCAAAAAATGATGTTTGAACAGATTTTTCTGCTGGCATTCTAAGCTGTATGTCAATGGGGCAGGAAAGTAGGTCACGAAAGTAGGTTAAATTTACAACCAAAAAATTTTAAGAAAGGAGCTGGCTAAAGGTCTTTTATGGCTGATCAAGTGATCTATTCAGTTTATCCCTTGGCATGTCGAATTTATTTGAGTCATATAAGAAACTAGTAGAAGTGGTTTACATGTGTTACTGGGAATCCACGCTCCACTGATGCTCGGTTCGTATGTACCTTTAAGTCAGTAGAATTCAAGTTCCTAGATTTTTTCCAGATTATTGATGCTAAAATTATGAGTGGATTTTTTTTGTTTATAATTAGACAACTTCGTAGTATCTCATGTGTCTTCTTACAACAGTGTAAAAGCTACCAGTAATTGGAGGTACAGGCCATCCAAAATTACCACCTGTAATTTCCTACAAAATTTCAGGGAGTCCAAATATGGCTAAAGCAAACATATTTCAAAAAAAAAAAAACATAAGCCCTCCAGTCATCTTTGAAAATATAGGCCATCCCACGATGCTGGCAGCTGCAGCCGTCCTAGAGACGGCTGGGCAGTTTGCTGGGAAAACCCTTGCTGACAACATAAATCTATTCTGGGGTCAAAACACGGTAACGGTGCCATGGGTGTCAATTTTTTTTTTTTTTTTTGTTTCATTGAAATTTGAAATTTTTATATTTTTGTAGAAAACAAATCAAATTTTCAGACAATGTAAGTTTCATTGATGTACTCCCAGTACTTTTTCTGTGAGCCACTGGGAAACATAAAGGAAAAAAAATTGTCTCTGACGGGACATATGGTCATATTGGCCTGAGTCAGATATTAGGTTATTTTTTCAAGTTTTTATCACCCAAATATGTTAAACTAATCAGAAGTAATAGTTAAACATAGAAAACTGCCACCTATCACTTATTTTGAGTAAAAAATTATTTAGCACTAGGAGTGGTGTGTCCCGTCAGAGACATTTGACTTCGAAAAGATGACAACACTCATACCACAGCTTACCCATCTCCTGGAATATCTCTCAACTCCAACCCAAGCTTCCCAAGCTGGTTCTTAAAACTGCCAAAATTATCATCGTCTGCAAGGTATGACTCCATTTTCTTAGTTCTTTGGTGCGCTTGCCGGACTGCACGCTCGTCCTTCTTGCGAGCCATGGCGTCGAGTCTCTGACCTTTGGTTAAATTACGATGACCTGAGCCTTTTGATCTTCCTGACATGTGCAGTCACGGTACCTTTGTCATGTGTCTTCATACAAAAGAGGGTATGACTAATGATTTCTCTGGACAACTTATAAAAGAGTACGTACAATCTATCTTTTCTAGGTTCAGCTCACATTAAAGAAAAAATATCCTCAAGATAATTCTGGATGTTTTCCTTAAGCGTTCTTCTACTTCAGCAATAAACATCTACTTCACAACCTGAAAAGCAATACAACACATTAGATGGTAAATGTTGGTTACTTTCTCATGACCTTTGAAATTGGCAGTCATGTTCAAATATAAAGAAACCTACAGCAAAATGTATAAGAATGGTGTGTTTGTATCTGATGTTAGCTGGTTGAAGAGTGCTTCAAGGTTTCCTATCAGCAATTTGTCCAATTTTTCAAAACTGGCAGTCTTGTTAAAATAAAGAAACCTAAGCAAATGTATCAGAATGATGCATTAGTTTGTATCTGACATTAGATGGCTGAAGAGTGCTTAAGGGTATCCTATCAGCAATTTTCTACCAGATTGAATTATCTAAAAAAAACTCTAACTCATAAATCATTGGAATGACACATGTGCACTTTAAATAAGTATAAACACACAGCAACAGTAAAAATATATTTGCTAAAAAATGAAAGAAAATAATAAATAGCCTGAGACCAGTATACATATCAGTGACACTGGTTTTCATCGTCCAACCCAAGGTCAAAAATACACACATCTCCCGATTTTCTTGGCGACAAATTTGAAGAGAGCTCATCTTTTGAATGAAAGCATAATATCTAAAGCCAATTTATTCATCTTAAAAAATATGAATGTGCTATTCAATGCACATGAAAACCTATACAATGGGATGTCGGGTGAGGTTTCATTACTCCAGTACAGGGTAATTTTTCATGGACGTGAGAGAAACGCTAAATTGGACACATGACAACACTGTTTAAATACGCTTTAGACTATATAATATTATCCATTATAATACAAAAACAAACATAAATGTACCTTACAACTTTAGTTCTTGGTCCACCTGTAGCCTTAATCTTAAATTCGACAACTTTTGAGCAAATAAAACCGCAACTTGAAGTTGCCGAGAGTTGTGACATATACCGGAAGTTTACTTGCTAAGTGAAGAGACATGCGCAATAAGACCATTGCGTTAGAGAAGAAAGTCGCAACTCAACAATCACAATTTGAAAAACAACTTCCAAGAAGACCATCTGGAGTATTGTCTGATAACGAACATACTACCTTCGCAATCAGTTGCTTCCTTGAAGAAGTTGGCTCTTTTTTTATTTATTTTTGTGGCATATCATTATTGATCTTTATCATAAGATAATGAAAACTGAAAAACAATGCATCATGAGGCCTGTCAAAATTGATGGTTAACAATTGTCAGAAGTCGGTTGGCGACCATACAGGGTCGGTATACAAAATAAATTAATTTTGTAAATTAAACACATGATTTTTTAAAGATCAAAAAGCTAAATTTCACGACCTATTTTTTAAACTATTATTTAAAGGAGGGAAATGCCAAAAAGAAAATTAGGAGTAAAAATGAAAATTCTGACTTTCTAAAAGTTAGTGTCGGACGCGCTCCTTAACCATCTTATCGATTTGTTTGCCTAATTTCGTCCCTAAATAGAACCTATTTGTGAAATAATCACAATATTACCTCAGAGATTATGCAAATATGATGATTATCTTTTTAATTCCCTTTTAGTCTTTTCATATTTAAACCAAAAAACACCAAAGCCATTTTACTAGCATTTCTCAGTGAATTGAACAAGCTAAGGCTTTGTGCCAAATTAAAGCGAGTGCTGTGATTAACTTAAATACATGTATGTCACGCTCTGCAACATTTGAACTAATTTTAATTTTCGTGTCGACTGTATTAAAATACCCAAGATGATGATACAATGTAATATTAAACCTCAGAAGCAAGTCACACTTACAGGCATCTTTTTAAACAATTAATTCTCTTGTTTCCTTTATCATTATAATCTAACCCGATATACACGCAAAAACGCGTGAAATTCAACGGTAAAGGAAAAAATTAACAAATTANCGACTGTATTAAAATGCCCAAGATGATGATACAATGTAATATTAAACCTCAGAAGCAAGTCACACTTACAGGCATCTTCTTAAACAATTCTCTTGTTTCCTTTATCATTATAATCTAACCCGATATACACGCAAAAACGCTTGAAATTCAACGGTAAAGGAAAAATTAACAAATTACATGTACTTCAAGGGAGGAGGCACACCCGCACGAGTGTTGGACCTCGTAACTTGCGCACACGATAAAATTAGTCATGGCCAAAGGTCAAATAAATAAGTAAAGAGTGGACAGGGCACGCTGGACAAACAAACAAATATATTGTGGGCGCTGGACAAACGCAAAGGTCTGGTCTAGTTGACTCATATTTTGGGACTAACATGTTTTGACTAAGTTTAAAGTTTACTCAAGCGCTAAGCAAGTACTAGTGCATACCCACACTGTTGCACTCTGCGTCACCTATGGAATGCGTCGCATTGTCCTCGTCCTTTGGATCAATAGGAAAACCACCTTTTGTAATTCAATAGGGCGGTGGCCATGTTGGACATGGAGAAGAAGAGTGGTGGAGTCGAGGAGCTTCGATCACCTCTACAGGTATGTCTACAATTTTGGGATGTGTCTCGGGTCTTAGAGTAGGTCATACAACGCACCTGTCAGACGCAATCGAGTCAAGTTCGTTAAAATCTGTCGTATTTTTATTGATCAGTTGCGTGTAAAAGTAAAGCATGTGGAAAACTGATAACTTCGAGTACAGTATATCGGCGTGACCGTATATGACATCAACAGAGAGTGGAGGTGGATGAGGAGGAGAGTGAATGGAGGACGGCCGGGTAGAGGGGGAAGGGGGTGTAACACCCGATTTGTAGGGGTGGATAATGTGTCAAATGTTGCACAGCCTTCCCAGGACCACAACGAGAGAGATTTCGCAAATAATCAATAACCAAAGGCTAGGGTACCTAACACAAAGATATGCCTGTAGGCCTATGTGTGTATAGGACCTTTGTGCACTCATATACCAATTTAAGTCTGAATACATTGCTTTTGTCACCATTCTTAACAATAATTATTATTATTCCATCACATGTATAAACGAATACAATAACGTTACAAAGACCTTTATCGTGATTATCATCAATATATTATATTTTAACGTTTCTCGATTCATTGATTTCAGATTTCCCGTGCACCAGCTCCAAATCTTATCTGATAAAGCAAAAAAAAACATACTTATCGATCGATTCTTTTGAAATGAAGGTCTCGCTGAACATAAAAGGAATCTAATTAAAACAAAATGGAGAAAATGGAGAAAGCGGCAGTGGGACTCATCATCGTTGCTTTGTCAGCGGGGACATTTTTTCACGATGTCAACGCCGTTGACAATACAACTAGTACTGCAATTCTGACAAACACAACCGATGAGACAGCGTCTACGAACGCAACACTGACCACAACAGCGACAGTAGACGTATCCTCAACCGCAGGTGAAAATACAGCTATAACGACAGCAACGACGACGTCAAACTCGCCGTGCCCGTCGAACACATTTTGTAAAAACGGACAGTGTAGTCTCAACGCCGAGTCTCAAATGCAATGTCAGTGCTATCAACACTTCTTTGGAACCCAGTGCACTATTGCCGATTTGACCACAGTGACCGACAACGTCGATTCGAGGTCAGTGAGTTTTACATGGCCGTCCACGCCGTCACTTTCGGGGTACTCGTTTCTATACTACGAGACGGCCGTGACGAACGGTGACGCCCGCACGGCGCCTGTAACGGTAACCTCACGCTCAGCGACGCTGTCGGGACTGAACGCTGGGATGGTTCTTTACGTGGTATGTCTCGTGCCGACGTCCACAATTACCGGGATGACCCGCGACCAGCTAAGATCAGACGCGTTTAGGACTGCTAATAAATGCGTGAAAGTGCGGACGGGATACGATGCGACAGACCCTTATACTGTCTCATTCTACGTGATACTCAGTGTTCTTGGTGGGGTGCTGTTGCTGATATCTGCCCTGGGTTGTAAGTTATAACAAGAACGTCAATTGACGTCCTTGGTTATATACTGAAAAGGCGCTCTCTTTCTTTCTCTCTCACTCTCTGCTTCTTTTTCTTCTTATTCTACTTCTACCGGTACTTCTTCTTTCTCTTCTTCTTCTCGCTCTCTCTCTGTTGTCTAATGCTGTTGTGTAAATTACTTAATTTAACTATTTAATTAGTCAAATGACTTGTTAATAGGCAGGTAAAATTGGAACGTTTCTCGGCAAGTAAACATTGTTTACAACTTGGGCCTATAATTTTATTATGAACTATTACCAGGTGTTGCAGCCTGCGGGAGAAGAATGCTCGACTCCGAGAAGTCAAAATCATGGAAATGGGTACAGCGTTTATCGGCAACTTTAAATCGGCGCAGTGGGTCAAGATCAGGATCCGGGAAACAATCACAGCAGCTGGACCAAAATGGGAAAAACCTGAGGACGTGATCAACCATTAAGGTCCCCTTGACCAAGGAGTTATAACTCCTTGCCTTGACAGAGGGCAGTATGACATACTGGGTGTGGGGTGGATGTGGATCCCCCTCCCCCCCCCCTTCTCTGCACCCCCTGACAATAATGGCGGGTATTTTTGAAATATCGTCTCATTACTACATGTAAATCATTACTGATGCTTAGAAGCTGACAATAAAATGCAATAAAGTCTATAGATTCAGTCGCGTTTGTGAAGAATTGATTGCAAAAAAAGAGCAAAATTTATGTGTAAAGGGATATCAACGCATCGTATGAAATCCATATTTCACAATAAATACACAGTAACGAACTCACAGAGATATAATAAATTCTATTATACCACAAAAGTGGCGGTTATCGCAATTATTCTGGTTTCTGTGCTTGCCATCGGACCACGTGACCTCCATAGATGGCAACCCTATTCGAGTAATAGAGGATTAACGTAATCACACTTACGATTATTAAAGAGATATTACAAAAGAACAAACAGTTTAGAAAAAAAGCAGGGACTAACTTTGAATGTTGAAATGGATTCATCGACCATTGGTTTGTAGGAAAATATTGTTGTTAACCCCAGGAAAATCTATGCTTCGTCCAAAATGTACAGTTGTTATCCCTTCAATCTACGTACATGTCTATAGTATAGGGAGCTGCTTGCCCCGTGTGAAACCACAAAGTCGGCTTATTGTTCACCTGCACATAATATAATAAGTTAGTCACTTGTCTTTAAGATGACTCTTTTCTATATTACACGCGAGTAGATCTGTTCACCTTTGTCTGATTGGACATTATTGCGATTACGCAAGTCACACCAATAATGACTTCAATTATTTGATAGAAGAGACGAGTCATTACATTCCCCTTTTCGGACAAGCGTGGGCACTTCAAACCGCAAAGTCCGCTATTCTGTTTTGCCAGGATATTTTGGCTTTCTTATTCTTTTTGTTTTTCTCTTTTTGCAAATCATCGTTCCTGGATTTGGAAGGTATACTGTATATATACTGAGATTGATTGGATGTTTCTATTCATGATACTTCTTTCGAGTGTAAAGTTTCGATACGGTAAACTTACATTGCGAGAGGTAAATGGTTTTGGTCCAGTAAGGAATTCTTTATCACCCGCGTGAGGTATAGTGGCTATATACATGTAGTTTTTGGAGAGATTTCCCAAAGTTCGCCAGCTTTGAACTTTCTGAAACTTTTTTTAAAATTAAAAATCGCGGTCAGGAGACGGATATTGATGCACGGCAGTAAAAAAGGAATGCTCACACACGCGCATAAAGAACGGACATATCAAACTTGTGGGCAAGCTGATATGAGATTGGGAAATACCCTTTGATTGTAAGTATTATTACGTTAATTTCGTCTTGTTTCAGCGTTCAGTTTTTCAGTAGCAATCCCGTTTTTGTTTTGATATTCATAGTTAATAGTTATTTCCAACAGATTTTATTTTAATTCTTTTAAGAGAACTTCGTATCAAATATTTGTCTAAAATAATTTTTATAAAGGGACAAAAGTTTTATTTTATGCTCCGTGCTATGTTTTTCAGGAATTGAATCTATCTTTTTTCTTTTTTAAAATTAAAATTTGAAACGTTCTGCACAAATGAAGACCAAAATATTTTTTAAAAGTCAGAGTATTGTCAACTTCATTTTTTTTTTTGTTCAAATGTTGATTTTTTTACATATAAAATGAGGCGTGTTCTCTTTTTATCCCCACAAGAGTATTTGAACTATCCTGTCCAAACCTGTAACTGAAGTTCATAAGGTAACTTACCGTCTTTCAAACTTCTGACAATATAATTACTTCAGTAGTTTGTCTTGGTTCAATAGCTGACAGGCTTCCAACCCCGTTGTTCGTCCAAATTTGCTTTAATGTTAGTTAAAGCAATTGAAATGCCAGTTAAAACTCGATCAGGTAATTGACCACAGGGGCTGCAGTTAGCCTTTTCTGCACCGACTAGATAACAATGCCGTAAGGAGATGCGCCTTCATCTTTTGTGAGTGTCCATCGGGACCTTATATTGTTGACGAGGTGAGGCTAGCTATATTGAAAAATTATTAATAACCAGTGATTGTACAGTAAAAAGGCTGAAGAAATCAGTGTAAAAAGCTACATATAGCTACATAGTCCACATAAGTGAACCACCCTTCTTTTGATTTTCTACATTATGTAGGGACCTACTGGTAATAAAAGTAGGCCCCTTTGCTGTAGGCTCGAGCAAAATCGTGTGTTACATGTATAGCATTAGCTTCAGAAATTATATCATATTGGTTTGAGTGTAAGTTATATTTCCAAATAATTTCAGCAGCGGTAGATATCAGCGATCTGCTAAAAGATAATGCATTGACCTCTAAAGTTAAAGTAATAAAACTCCGGAAACTTTACGGCCATATATGGGTATAGTGATTAACCATGTGATTTCACGTCTCACCACCATTGGTTGGTTGTCAATCGGAAGTACTCGGCAAACTTCGCTATGGCTATAACACAGTTTACAGAAGTAAACGATGCCTCGACAAGAAGCTCGCACAATGCTCTTACTACTGTATAAATAGTCGAAAGCATAAGCATACAATAGCAGGCAAATAAAAGAGGGGTTCTATGACGTCTGTTTATATGGTGCCTTCGAAAAGATTTCAGGTCAGTGTGACGCAAAAACAGCACTGGATCGAGTTTTGACAAAATAAAACGATATAGACCTATGTCTTTGTCCTCATTTTGCACGGGGCGTGTGACGTAATTGGCCCATCCGGCTCGGATAGTACATAAAACTTTCGCGGAACGCAATGAGCTCATGCAGTCTTGAACTTCGATCTACTTGCTAAAGATTAACGCAACCAGTAGACGGATATGAGTTAATATTTTAAAGAAAATTTGCAAGTGTACGAGTTCTGCCCCAAAACAATAACAAAGTAAGTTTCTGAATGATACACTATGCAGATCTTAGAAATCTGCTTGTTTGCTTGATGAGAATATTACCGGGAGGTTTATAGGTAAAAAGAAATGGAGGAACGCAGCTGCCGTTTGTATGATTATGGGACAAATGAGGATGAACTACGCTTTTTATTATGTCCACTTAATGATGACATGAGAAGGCGACTTATTTTGATAACACACTGGGCTGGATTAACGATAAAAGGATAAACTGAAATTGATTATGAATGCTAAAAAATTGGCTAAATATTTGGCGCACGCTTTTGTTTAAAAAAAACAGCAATTATGGTGACATAAAGGTCCACGGGACCGGGGATATTTAATCCTTGCCTGATTTATAAATGAAATATTCCATATATTCCCACGCACTAAGTGGTTGAACTCGAATAGACTACAATTTGAGTTTACTTTTTAGTTAAATACGTAGAATTGCCGCATTATGATAGATCCTATATACTAAAATAGGTTGGCTTTGATGGTGAAATAAATCTCAAAAGCAATAAATTATCACATTATTAATTTTTTTACGTTTATTTCTCTCCAGGAAACTGACAAACATGTCTGACAATACCAAAATTAGGACTGGCGCATCCGGATCCGTGCTGGACACAAGCCAAATCACCATTCGCCCAATAGAGAAACACGAACAGTTACAAGCTAAGCGATTAATCGAAGAAAACCTGTGGACTCTCACAATCCCATACTTCGTGAAAAAGACACTGAGGACGCAAATCGCCGTCTTATTCGCGCTCACATCAGTTTTATGTCACTGGCACACGCACGCGATATATTTATCCGTTGCTGCTCCTGCTATATTGTTGATTCTGGTCTACGTTCCATATTTCTACGCAGTATTCAAGGTATTTTTTGTGAGGGAAAATATCATGAGCTGCTATATCCAACCAAGACAGAGTTTTTTCGTAGCGGAGTACCAAGGCAAAGTCGTCGGAACAACTGCCGTTCTACGCGAGACGGGAAGCACAGCGAGACTTGTGCGCATGTCCGTTTCTCCATCCTGTCGCGGTGTCGGCCTCGGCAAGATTTTGGTGAATCACGCCAAAAAGTTCTGCGCCGAAAATGGCTACGATAAACTGGTTATCAAAACTTCAGAATCCCAGGCTGCGGCTATTAGACTTTACAAAAGCTGTGGGTTTAAAGAAAGCGGACAAATACTGATAAATCATATTTTGATGACAATGTTAAAGCATCATTTTGAACTGGACATTGGTAGAAATGAGAATTCACTCCAGGTTGAAGCGGTTTCCCCTTGCAAGGGTGCCTGATTTCTCATTAGTTATCACTGACACTGAATCGTCTCGAAAAATGTCAGATTTTGTTGACGGTTTGACTCGAAGATAGTCGATCACAGTCGAAGTCTACATCGGGCGCACCCGGTGATCGCCGAGGACTGTCGTAGTCTCCGGCCAGCTGCTTAACTTGTGATTCAAGACAGCAAAGGATCTAGAAAACCTCGAAACAATAAATTATGTGACAGCTACAAAATAGGACCTTAAAAGCATTCTAGAGATATTGTATTTACAACGTAATAGAAGGCCAATTCAAAGAGAACAGATACCGGTACATTTAATCATGTGAAGAAAACAAATATTTATCATGTAATTAGCATAGATTATTTATCATGCACTCTAACAACAGCATGTAAAGAGCAACATTCATATGTTTTGTATAATGTCTTAAATTTATGTATAATTGGTGCTTTGTACATGTATTTTTCATAATGATTATATGCACAACTGTTCCTCATTTTAAAAAAATGGTGCTGTAATTTTGATTAATGCTCAAACGGACCTTGCTATTAAATTGCCTTGTTTTAATGAATGTACGGTGAAGTACCCACATGTACATTACATTTAAATCAAAGTTTTATAAAAAAAATTCTAAATGGATCATTATTACAATAAAATAAATAAATGAATAATAATAATAAATGAAAAAATAGTTTGTGCTCAATATATACATGTAACTCGTAATGGCTTTAAATTGTACATATACAAAATAATGAAAATTATAACTTATGGAAATGTAATTAAAAAACGTAATCATTATTTCCTGCAAAGTGCTAACCTTCCACAGGCGATAGAAATAAGCTGTTAGCATTAATTGTAGGAATTAAACAATTGCCGCCCCCATCCTTGCATTTTCACATCCTGCGGTAGGCCTACTGATTTTTTTTTTTTTATTTCATAATAGCGCATGCGCAAAATGCACTCACTTGGTTTGATTGATGAAGCATTCTTGAAAACAAAAAGCACTCCCGTTGATATTATTTCTATGATTTGCTGAAGAGAAGAGATAACGACGAGCGTTTTTTTAAAGGATGTGTTGTATTATACATCTATCAATTTCAGGCCCGTAGTCAGGGTTGTCCGGGGGAAAGAATCCCTCCCCCCTTTTTGCTAAGAAAAGGTTCCCTCTGGGTAAAAATTTTTTAGGTACACAAAGGTTTCATGGTAAAAGGTCCACTTTTTTATAAAAAGAACCCCCTTTGCTGGCTACAGGCCTGAATATATTCGTCACACACTTAATTTGGAATTTCAGAAAAGGCCAGGCAAACAAAGAGAGAAAATAGATAAATAAATAAATTAGATAATTCACCAACTTGTTAATCACTTAAACAATTAATTATTTAATTGATTGAAATAAAACTGGTGAACTTGGAAAATCGAAAAGGCCGAAATGTAATAAAGACTCAAACCCCCCCCCCCCCCCCCACTTCCCAGCAGCCGTAGGCCTTGAAACTGCCGGAGTGCTCAAGAGACACATCTATGACTCTACTACCGCAATCAGTCAGAACGTTGGTTCGCCTTAGCTGACAAACACAATAATCTTATCTAGAGTATTGTTATTGTAGATTTAGCATCTTCAAATAATGCGCCCGATCATAATGAACCTAAAATATTCCTGTATTCCCATGCACACATGTTCTCTATTTGCAAGTAAGGGGATATAGTGTGCGTAATGTTTCTAAATATTATTTTCATAATTAAATGTATTAAACCTCCTTCAATACAAAGGCAACTTGAGAAAGACGTTATTGTTTGCTTATGTCGGATCCAAGGTATTTGTATGTAAAAAATACTGAAACTGATAGGGGAAGAGATAGGGGAAGTTTTTTTTTCACCAAATAGGATGGAGGAAGTCATTACTTTATCCTTAGGGTGTATTCCCAGAGATTTAGATCGATTTAGGGATTAAGATTTAGATCGACCTAACTCCCTGGGGATTCAAGCTAAATTGCAGTCAGCCGAGCGCGCACCATAATTAATTACCCCCTTACAGCTTTCAGTAGGCGGGACAGACGCTTAAGCCGGCTAAGCTGACAGTATCTAGTGAGACTCCCCACAGGGATAGAACGATATAAAATCTATGGAAATGGGGTCTTAGTGACCTTTGGAATCCCTCTCTGTTACATGCATTTCACCCTGGTTTCAAACTGACAGGGGCATTGCCACGCTTAAGGAACTTTGGGTTAAAAGCTTATAACCGTAATATTTTTTTTTCATTATAAATCTAACCTATCCCCCCCATCCCCCCCATCCCCCCCCCATTTTAAGTCCAAAATCACCCACCTTCAAGTCGCATTTTCAAGGGATTCAATAAAAGTTGATATGCAAATTTTTTGGTAGGTACTACACATACAAATTAATCGTTTAAGAAAGTTGGTGCCCAAAAATGAATGTGCCTGTCGGCGTCGTAGTCTTCACCGTGCACTTTCCCCCGTAAGAATATAAACAGAGAGATGAGAAGACACCCTCTATGTCAATAACTCTCTCTTTCTTTTTCTCGACATGTAGCAACCAAAGACCCCCTCCTCCATACCACGTCGTCCACATACCAGCTTGACGCACGAATTCTAGTAAGGATCCAAACATCGACTGGCAAATGTTATACAGTGTAACCTACTGGCCCCAGACCCTTGGCCAGGGCTGGAGCATTAGGTTCCAGGCACACTGTATATCCCTCGCTAACCCTGTGATAATGTAAGAATACACGACAACATTCCATAAAAAAAAAACAATTTAACGCCCTCCATATATCTGGTGCTTAAAAAAACGTTACTTATTTCAAAGTTCAATAACGTGAATGGTTTCGAGTGGATTAGTAGAGTCACCAGCATTTCTCTCTCAATTCATAACCTTTACATGCCCAGGGCCGTGTGAAAAAACATTGCAGACATAAACCTTTGCCGCATAGGAACGGTTATGTTAGACTTAAGGATCTTGTAACCCTTTATTATCATCCAGATACCGAAAATGAGGTTTCCTGCATTCAATAATGGATCTATCTTTGTGCTGATTTAAAACAACAAAAAACATAAACATCGAAACTATAAAATATTGGTGTTTATATTTCTCGTTGCAATGTATAAGCGTAGGCAACTCAAAGCTTTAATCGTCAATTTAACACCTTTATATTTTTGGGTAAGGAAGCGATCGGTATGGGGCTTAACTTCATCCCTGAACAAGATTTTATCGCGAATATGGGCAGAGTTGACTTAGAGTGTACAATCCCGTGCCGCTATTTCGGTTTGGATTTTTTTGTTAAGTAGTTATGAGTCCCTAATTACAGATTTTCATTAAACAAAGGCATTAATTTGTTTTATCAGCGATAAAATCTTACCCAAGACTTCTAAGAAAAATCGCTAGGAGGATTTTGGAGTTAAAAAAGGTGATCGTAGATGCTCAGCTAACGGAGAAATTTGAGAAACCGACTTTTCAGTTTTTACCCCAAAATCGCAATTGTGCCGCCATATGTGTAAATGTTAATTAATTTAGTCACTGAACACTGAAGGTTTATCTTTTGCCCAAAAGAACGTATGTAAGGCAGCACATATTATTAATAAGGAGTTTTAAGCCTATAATTTAGGGATTGCAAAAGTTCATGTAAAGAACAATGCAAACACAAACCCTTGCAGCAAGGACTCGTTTACGTTGGACTTGCGATCGTACCTAAACCGGTCTACATAATAAGGGGATCACGCTGAATGCAAATGATGATGACAGAAACGGAGGGGGATCCTCCATACAATTGGTTGGATCTAATGAAATTAAGTAATTATTGTACGATAAAGTTTTTGGTGAATATTTGCCCAACCGTTTTACTGGACCGCGTTCCGCAATGTTTAAACAGAAGCAGTTTTATCATTTTCTCCAGGTTGCTGTAGCCGTGGGTGACGCTGGGGACTCTAACCTATCGCTTTAGCACTCCCCCACTCCCTCATATTGCTTAGCGCTGTAGCCTGGGATTCCAGAGCTATTACGTCCAATCTTGAAAGCGTATATTCATTTTGGTAGAAACTAAGACCCCATACCCACAGTCACCAACGGTCCACTTGGATCGACCCAACTCTGCGGAGACTAACGCTGAGTGATAACAGCTTCAACACTTCTTGTTTCCAACGTACCCGTATAATCACCAGCTTTTATGTATTCTACTTAAAGCCAGGAGGCCGCGTGTTTATCTGTTTAGCCAATAAGGGGTACCGTAGGAGAAGAGAATGAGACGAGGATTTATCAGAATTGTGTCGGAAGTGACGTGTAGTGGTGTAAGACGCGAAGCTGAGTGGTCATTTTTATCTGGAGGTACAATTCTGATAAATTCTCGTCTCCTCCGGTACCCCTTATTGCCTTCTGCAACAGTCCCCATGGAGTTGGATCGATCTTCGAAGACCAATGGTGTCTATAGGAATGGGGCCTATTTTTGCTAACATTGACTTGAATGTGATCCAATAAACAAGAGCGGGGTGAAAGATCTCTGGCAAATACCGCACGTTCGAGTCGAAGTTCAACGGTAACCCGGAGAGGCGGAGTCGGCAGAGCTCGAACTCGTTCCTTTAGCGTTCTGGAGACAATCGAAAGTCAAGGTATGTCCACCACCAGATCACTAGATTTGCTAGATAATTTTCAAACTACCTTTAATATCATTCTCAAGGGAACCATCCACACAATCACTAAAATCAAACAAGAAACACAGACAAAACAGATTTTTTGGTTTGATTGTTTGATGTTTACCATGCAAAATTGTAAAAATTTATTGGGGCTTTCTATTAATATTCTCTTTAATTTATACTAATGTTAGGTTAATAATAATAATAATGTAAGAGTTGAGTTTTACGCTATTCAACGCTGAAGTGTCCTTTCAAAGTTCATGGCAAGTAATAGTCGGGGCCAGTCCCCCCCCCCCTCTCCAGGCTGTACGACCCGTACAACCTTTCTTTGGTCATTTTCATACAGAGGTGAGACGCCTCTCTCTACACCACGCTGAGGTGAGACGCCTCATGCAGTACGCTGTACACAGTTACGCACACACTCTCCATCAGATATAGCTTTAATCTGATATATCAAATCACTCCCTCACACATACGTAACGAAGGAAAACAAAGGGATTCTGAGCATTAAATCTCAACCCCGAGCGTCCCACTAACAAGCTCACAGCTTCTAACTAGGGGCGCTGTCAAAACACACGTACCCAGGGGCCCAGCTTTGGATCGTGTTATTTTGATCTGAGGTAGTTTAACTAAGGCATGAGCCGACCACCCCCAAACAGCACAACGAAGTATTTTGTTTTAGTTATGTCTACCCCGAGAGTAGGCCTACCGAGCATATGGCAGTAAATATTTATTCTACGCTGAAGTTTTGCACCCTGTTTTAGTATACATTAGTTCATTTTCCAGGCTTGTTACTACAGGTCAAGTTACGAGTACAAGGCAATGCTATCCCGTATATCATGCCCACCCAATCAGTGAAAAATTCCGAGCAAATGCCCAGTCTGTCTCAATTTGACAGTGGACAGAATCTGTGCTCATTTTCTGAATATATATATATATTAAAACAGATCCATACATAGTACCGGTAACGTTATAAATGTAACAAACTAAGTTTTTTAACTTCAGGGTTCACATCAAGCGCCGAGTATGTCTAAGTTTATGCTGTGTTTTTATACCTAAAAAAATTCACCTGGGTCTTGCGACGTTTCAGATTCATTGTTCAAAAATTGTCATGCGAGTTTACTATAAAACGTGTCAATGAGAAGATTTTTTTCTTCTGTGCATTGAGTGTAAGAATGAGTTTTTTCCTTACTACCAAGCGTTTTAACTCAACATATAAGGACTTTTAGGCTTTTAGACTTTGAGGGTATAAATATATAGTGCATGTATTTCAACAACACAAACAAGTTCTTAGATGTGATAAAGTTACTTCGAACTGCATAATAATAATAATAATAATACCCAGCTTCTTGATGTGACTTTCATTATACTTGGACAATTTTGATAAAATATCCAGAATATCTATCCACATCAAATGATAATTTTTCTTCTTTTTTCCAGTCAAAATGGCACCATATACCATTCTGTTTGCGTTGCTATGCAACCATATTGCACATGCGCACTGGAGTCCTGCCGCCCATGAAATCATAGACATGACGTACGTGATGTCAGAGGACTCCCTAGTTTGGCCTGGGTTTAACATGAAGTTTCATTATACACGTATTAGAAGGGACCAGTGGAAGTACGGTGCAGGTTGGTACGTATCGCTCGAAAATGACCATAAAGATGCACTTCAACCGATTTTTTGGTGGTACATGGAGTACATTATATTTCTATGAGTTTACAATGTACTCATTGTGAAATTTTAATCTCTTATGAACAGTTGTTCTTCCATTTTAATTCTGTTTTAGTGCATGTCTCAGTTTGATAAAAGTTTTTTTATCGTCTGCTTCCTCCAAAAGTTGAAACTCTACTTTTAGTTAGAGGAAATGTAGAAGGTCCACAGACAGGGCAGGCCGTATTAATTATACACTATATTATTTTCGGTTTTGGATGCTACATTTCCACATTTCCGCAAATTATGAATAAAATCCGTTGAGTAAATTCATTTTGCACAGAAGAAGCAGCGTTTTTCAGTTGGTAATTTCAGTCATTCATTGCTTTCATATTAGGCTAGAGGACAATGACATATGCCGACCAGAACATCAGGGCACCCACTTGGACGCGCCTGCGCACTTTGCTCGCGGAAAATGGCACGTGCAGGACATTCCTCCTTACAGGTTTTTTGGTCCGGCAATAAAGGTCGACATTTCTGCCAAAGCGGCACTCAACCGCGACTATAACCTTGAGGTAAAAGATGTAGAAAACTGGGAACGCGCCAACGGCAAAATACCAGACGGTGCCATCTTGTTCGTATACACGGGTTGGGGAAAATATCACACCAACAGTTCAGCATATTACGGTTATGATGGGGCAGGTGATTGGAAAAACGATCTGCACTTTCCCTCGGTATCACAGAGCGCCGCCAAATGGCTAGCAGAGAACAGGAAAATCTCAGCCGTCGGAGTTGATAGTCCTTCAATAGGACCAAGCAGTTCTTATATGGCCCACGTTCCACTCCATGAAAAGAACATCTTTAACGCAGAGAGTGTAGCAAACTTAGATAAACTTCCAACCAAAGGATATTCAGTTGCTATGCTACCGGTCAATATAAAGGACGGCAGCGGCGCCCCCTTGCGGATCATTGCATTCAAAACAGTCCAAATATCTCCCGGTCCTGAAGACGTTGTTGATCTTACGTATCCCCTTGGAAACAACACGGTGATGTGGCCGGGTAGGGCCAGCTTTAAACTACTTCCGGTACAGAAAGGATATATGAAAATAGGCAACAATTCTGTGTGGTGCGTATACAAACATAAGTTTTACATTTATTTCGAAATAATAAGGTTAATAGGATAGAAATATGAGATATGAGAAGCATATTTCACAAGAAATACATTGTAAACAACTTATAGAAATATAGTTATTTCTATTTTATTACCAAAACGCAATTATCCTGGAATCTTTGCTTGCCGTCACCACGTGGCCTCCATAGATGGCTACCTTAATAATTATTTTTAGGAGACAATTGCAAAATTAAACAAACTTTTTGGAAAATAAAATAAGAACTTACTTTGAATGTTGGAACGGATTCATTAACCATTGGTAAGTATGGCGAAATTTGTCGTTTTCCCCAGGGAAATCCTTTTTTGGGCCAAATGAACAGTTGTTATACCTTAAAATGCCATTTCTGTCCATGGTGACGGTTCCTTAAGCGAATATGCCTGACTAGCATCATAGGAAAAATCTTATCAGTCTTATATACTGGACCTACCAGGTAATAATTCCTCGACACGTCGTTGTGATCGGTAAGACTGGTCTTCAACAAGGAAATGAGTTTCAGTGACCTGGTAACCTGGTCACGTGACTGGTCAGAGGACCGCGGATCAAATACAGTCGACCCACATGAATGCTTGTTGGGTAATCCCCGCGGGGAATCCTTTGAGTACAGATAAGGGGATAAAACGACAAGCTTTTTAAACGGGTGGCTATATTTGATCCGCGGACTTGATAGTCCGCTGTTGTGAATGGCTGTTGTGCCATTGACACTCATTTTCCCTGTCAAAGATAATACCTGTAAATGTAAGCGATGCCGATCGGATCGTTGCGTTATGACCTCGTACGCCCCGTATAATATATTGAAATTTCCTCTTGTTATATCATTCTGATTGGTGAATAGGGACACTCACTCTCTCATATCTGACAAACACTCAAAATTTAAAACTGTAAAATTCTACATATCATTGCAGGGTGGATTTTAACAATTTTTGTAGTCCAGAGCATGCTGGGACCCATTTAGATGCGCCTGCACACTTCATCAAAGGTTCGTGGCGAATCCATCAAATTCCGGCCCACACCCTCATTGGTCCGGCCATTCGAGTGGATATTTCCAAAAAAGCCGCAAACAACCCGGACGCCGTGTTGACTGTTCAAGACCTCCATGATTGGGAATATGAGAACGGTCGGATACCAGACAATGCCATGGTATTTTTGTACAGTGGATGGGGGAAATACGTAGATGATTATGAGAAGTACCTCGGAACTGCTAACCGCACCCACTGGGAAAATGATCAAGGACAGTCTCTCCTTCATGTCCCCGGTTTTTCAGGAGAGGCAGCTGAGTGGTTGGTAAACAATCGAAAAATCATCGGAGTCGGAAGTGACACAATCAGTTATGATGCAGGGCAGACGACATCTTTCCCGGCCCACGTGACTTTTCTCCGCGCCAAGCGGCTCGCGTTAGAGATTGTGGCTAATCTCGACAAGCTTCCGCCATCTGGATATACCGCATTTGTTTTTCATATGCTTCATGTTGACGGGAGTGGAGCACCAACGAGGCTGGTTGCCGTGAAAAACTCAGCAATTAGTTTTAACTCGGATGAAGTAGCTTCAGATGGCCCTATGTCACGTCCTCTTTTTGCTATATTGCTTTTGCCCTCATTTTGTGTCCTTATTGTCTTGTTGTAAGTCATTGCAAAATTTAAGCATGCATGAAAAAAACTGTCATAAATGCAGGCAGGTACGGAGCTTTGTTAGTATCATATTAACTTTTTTCTATTTTCATTTAAGTTTTATTTTATGGAATTTTCACCGCGGTGAAAATGATTTCTACCGCGGTGAAAATAATTTTCACCACGGTGAAAATAATTTACACCGCGGTGGGAATTAATTTTCACCACGGTGGAAAATAATTTTCACCGCGGTGGTAATTCCTGGCCATCTCGGCCCGGGTGATGAATAGGTAATGAGAACCTTACATTTGCCAGATTCCGTTTCGGTGCATGCTATTGTTACATACACACAAGGTTGGTGGATCTGTTCGTGGGGCCACTGCCGTTAACTTAAGTTTCCCATCTATATTTACCACCTATGAAATTAAAGTCCCGCTTGCAGTTTTATGCAAAGGGAATCCCATTGTTATTACTAAATATTTTGTGATGTGTTTCTTAGATCTCATCTTAATAGATGTAATCTCGGTTTCTTCGGAAAAGTTTTTTTTTCTACCAATATTCCCAATAATGCACAAGTTATTATAAAGGGAAAAGCCACGTACAACATTGCAGCATTTCAGTGATTTTTAATCTATTCGAATACTGCCCGCTTCCTCCAGATTCCTGGGATGATTGGCACATAGACCGGTTAAACCGCGTGCATGTGCATATGCTTGTCTTTATCAACGTCCTTTCCAGACATCTGGTAATTGTTGGATTCGTATAACCTACATGTATGCATTACCCGGGCCGAGATGGCCAGGAATTACCACCGCGGTGAAAATTATTTTCCACCGCGGTGAAAATTGATTCCACCGCGGTGTAAATTATTTTTCACCACGGTGAAAATAATTTTCACCGCGGTGAAAATTCCATGACATAAAACTTTAATGAAAATAAAAAAAGTTAATATGATACTAACAAAGCTCCGTAGGCAGGTCTTTTTAAATTGAAAAATGTAAATGATTGATGAAAAGTCTACATGTATATACCGGTAGTAGGGGTTTTTCGCTCTTTTGACTTTATTTCGATATCTTGAGACAGACTCCTGAACATGCTTCGAGGATAATAGACGACAAAGATCGATTTTTTTCAGAGTTTTTTTAACAGTCTCAAATATTAAGTGAGTTATTAAGTGAGAAATTACACACAATCATAATAAATATTACAGTATATTTTAAGCACGCTTCCATTGTTATCTATCAGCTGAGCTACCGACCCCAGCAGGCACGAACCTTTGCTCACGGTTCTGTACATGTATTGATTTTGAATGCGATGCAAGACTATGGGCGTATTCCCAGAGCTTTTAGATCGATCTATCACCGCGGTGAGTCTCACTAGATTACTGTCAGATAATCCGGCTTAAATGTCCGTCCCGCTTACTACAAGCTGTAAGGGGGTAATTAACTTTCGTGCCCACTCGGCTGACAGCTATTTAGCGTGAACCCCCAGGGCGTTAAGTCGATCTAAAATAGATCGATCTAATCTCTGGGAATGGGGTCTATGCAAAGGTCCAGACTCGACCTGTGATTAAAATCGTTTTTCAAATACAGATTATAAAAGAGAACACGCCCTCTAAACTTCTAATGAATTAAGTTGCTCGGTATCAAAACGATAAGCGAAAAAAGCATGAAATTGTAAGACTATTTTATCCAAGTGAATGTGTATACATAACATTTTTTTAGTAAAACCTTGTTATTTGATTGTATTGGTTATAAACGCCCAAGTATTTTCCCACATTATATTTCATTATGTTCCAGAGTGATACACTGTACCAGTATCAAAGATACTGAGTTCCGTGATAGCCTTTTTCTAGTTTTGACACCAAATAAAATAATTATTTAGTTTCATTAGATGTGAAACCAACCCTAATTTTCCAGTGTCGTTCGGGAGACGGTAAGAAGGCAAAGGTATGGCTACTTGGTGGTACCCAGTACATTACCAGGCCCGTAGCCAGGGGGGGAAAGAAAGAACCACCCTCTTTTTTGCTGGGAAAAGGTCCCCTTTGGGTGAAATTTTATCTAAGTACACGAGGGTTTCATAGTAAAAGGTCCACATTTTTAGAAAAAGAACCCCCCTTTTGAAATCGCTGGCTACGGGTCTGATTACAACAGATAGATTATATTGTACTGTACCTATATTTTAAATTATTCTCGGCGTTATAACTGAGAAATAATAAAGTAGCAAAAAATGGAAAACAACTGGCTTATTAATGGTCTTCTTTTCTGATTGGTTTATGTAAGTCTTGTAAGGAATACAACCCTGAATTAATAATCAGATCAACATGACAAGAGTCCAGAGTAATTTTGCCTTTATTTCAATTCAATAGTCCAACTGGTAGTATTCTTCCAAAGTTCATGACAAGTTATAGTATATTACAGTATAATATTTGTGCAGAACGGAGTGTTTGGACTTAGTCGTGTCTAGTAAAGAGCAAATGGCAATAAATATTTATTCTGTTCTGCAGTTCGCAACGCTGGCCTGGCATGCATGTAATTCGTTCCAGGCACGAAGCCACAGATTGAAAAGGAAAACAATATTTAATATAGGTACCTACTTCCCCCACCCATCTGTGACAATACCTCATCTGATTAAACTTGCCATTTGGCAAATTCTTTGCCCTCTCTATGAGTTAAAAAAAATCTTAGTAGCTGTACATGCCATTATAAAATAATGAGTAACACGGTTTTCCATCAATTGCGTAAACGGTGAAGTAAAAAAAAAAGCATGTCAACGACGACAGATACAGTTTATCTATAGGCCTACATGTATGTGCCAACACACTGCGCCTGTACATAAAAAGGAACAAACGATGTTTTGGAACAGGGTACGTTTGGCAATCACGAGGTCACAAAATGTACAAGCTGGCTTTTAGTTCAGAAGGCTTAAAAGTCTGCGTTTTTTTAAATTCGTTCTGATTCAGTGAAGTCTCAGATTCATTGTACAGAAGTTCACGTGAGTTGCGTTTCTATAAAATAGTGTTCATGTTTGGGATTTTTTTTTTCTTTTTTTTTTCTTTTTTTTATTTATTTATTTATTTTTTTATTTTTTTTTTTTTTTTGTTTGCGCATTGAATATACAATGTGATTTTTATTGTTTTAATTGCAAAATGTTGTGAAGGCAATAGAAAACGAGCAAATGGACATCCAGGGTATACATGTATATTGTATTCAAATGTACAATAATAATAATAATTTATTAAGCCAATAAAATACAAATGTATAAAATCGGGAATCTTTTGCCCTGTAGTAGCGCCATTGAAATATAAAAAAAATGAAAATTAAAATTACATGTTNACATGAAATTGTAAGACTATTTTATCCAAGTGAATGTGTATACATAACATTTTTTTAGTAAAACCTTGTTATTTGATTGTATTGGTTATAAACGCCCAAGTATTTTCCCACATTATATTTCATTATGTTCCAGAGTGATACACTGTACCAGTATCAAAGATACTGAGTGCCGTGATAGCCTTTTTCTAGTTTTGACACCAAATAAAATAATTATTTAGTTTCATTAGATGTGAAACCAACCCTAATTTTCCAGTGTCGTTCGGGAGACGGTAAGAAGGCAAAGGTATGGCTACTTGGTGGTACCCAGTACATTACCAGGCCCGTAGCCAGGGGGGGAAAGAAAGAACCACCCTCTTTTTTGCTTGGAAAAGGTCCCCTTTGGGTGAAATTTTATCTAAGTACACGAGGGTTTCATAGTAAAAGGTCCACATTTTTAGAAAAAGAACCCCCCTTTTGAAATCGCTGGCTACGGGCCTGATTACAACAGATAGATTATATTGTACTGTACCTATATTTTAAATTATTCTCGGCGTTATAACTGAGAAATAATAAAGTAGCAAAAAATGGAAAACAACTGGCTTATTAATGGTCCTCTTTTCTGATTGGTTTATGTAAGTCTTGTAAGGAATACAACCCTGAATTAATAATCAGATCAACATGACAAGAGTCCAGAGTAATTTTGCCTTTATTTCAATTCAATAGTCCAACTGGTAGTATTCTTCCAAAGTTCATGACAAGTTATAGTATATTACAGTATAATATTTGTGCAGAACGGAGTGTTTGGACTTAGTCGTGTCTAGTAAAGAGCAGATGGCAATAAATATTTATTCTGTTCTGCAGTTCGCAACGCTGGTTCTGGCATGCATGTAATTCGTTCCAGGCACGAAGCCACAGACTGAAAAGGAAAACAATATTTAATATAGGTACCTACTTCCCCCACCCATGAGTGACAATACCTCATCTGATTAAACTTGCCATTGGGCAAATTCTTTGCCCTCTCTATGAGTTTAAAAAATCTTAGTAGCTGTACATGCTATTATAAAATAATGAGTAACACGGTTTTCCATCAATTGCAGTAACGGTGAAGTAAAAAAAAAAAGCATGTCAACGACGACAGATACAGTTTATCTATAGGCCTACATGTATGTGCCAACACACTGCGCCTGTACATAAAAGTAACAAACGATGTTTTGGAACAAGGTACGTTTGGCAATCACGAGGTCACAAAATGTACAAGCTGGCTTTTAGTTCAGAAGGCTTAAAAGTCTGCGTTTTTTAAATTCGTTCTGATTCGGTGAAGTCTCAGATTCATTGTGCAGAAGTTCACGTGAGTTGCGTTTCTATAAAATAGTGTTCATGTTTGGGATTTTTTTTTTCTTTTTTTTTTTTTTTTTTTTTTTTTTTTTTTGTTTGCGCATTGAATATACAATGTGATTTTTATTGTTTTAATTGCAAAATGTTGTGAAGGCAATAGAGAACGAGCAAATGGACATCCAGGGTATACATGTATATTGTATTCAAATGTACAAAGTACCTGCATTTGCACAAACAAGTTTTTATACATGTTAATCATATAGGCCTATGCAAAATACTTGAAATTAATCAGTGTTTTTATTGCGTGTCTTACAGTATGAGGATTATAATAGAAAGTTGCATGTCTCTTTTATTTGTTTTTCAGTCAAAATGGCGCCAGCTACTTTCCTTCTGTTTGTGTTGCTATGCATGCGCAGCCATAT